GAATTACGATCTGCAATCTGTTTGTAGTACCTGCAAGAATGTGCTGTACATGTATCGTACTTTCTCTATTGCTGTTTCAGTTGCCGTCATGTTGCTAAAGAAACGTTCAGTAGAGAGGTTCTGCAAAACGATAATTCGAACGAAGTTTCGCGACAGTCATTGCGAAAGTGTGTACGAATTTTTGCACAAACTTTGCGTTCTGCACGTTTTCGTAGTTTGCGCGGGCCAAGTGCACGTACGCCATGACCCGATCTCACGAAAGTGTGTACGACTGTTCATTTCGCGTTCCCTGCAAGTTTCGCGTCCAAAGTTGCGAAAGTTCGTGCGAAGTTTCGCACTTCAGGACGTGGAACGACTGTTTGTACGCATTTTCGTTTTGCAGAACCTCTCTAGTGACTCATTTGTTTCATACGAGACGAGTCAATGAGTTGGTGTGGCTTAGAATCTTTCGCTGTAGAAGAAATCTATTCGTATGTCTATTGGAGAAATAATTGTATTCACTGGTTAGAAAATAGGTTAAGACAAACTCACAGAATAAATACCATCGGTCCCTTGGTGTTCGTCCTAAAGAGGTTCGACTGGATATCATTCATACTCACCAAAAAATGTGTACGATTCTATTATTATGGAGTGCCTTGTTTATCTCTCAGTACCTCCAACCATAGCCTTGCCCCTTTTATCCTCAGGATCAGTGTAGTTGTTGGAACGAGGTGTCGGACTCAGCAATGTATTTGTTTACATTTTAATACATGTTTATTGTTCCTCCTTTGCTGTGTTGTTTTAGAAAATCGTGGACTAACAGTTCGAAGTCATTGAACTACTTCCAAAAGTTGTATCGACATCAACAGGGTTACGATTTCAGTGCAGGATGACCTTATCACGATAACCCATGATTATAAACCATTATAAACACAGAATCAACAAAAACATCTGCGACACGCACCTGGTTACATTTCTCAAATAAATCTGATCGAGGGTGGGGAAATCTGAAATATCTGAAAGGCAAGACAATTTTATGAAATTCTGCTACAGCAACATGCACAGAATGACCTCCGTATAAAAAAGGTATCACCACGGTCCACCACTACTCACATGTATCCCCGCAGAAGAACATGCTAGTCCCATTTTCTGCAAGAAAAGGCTTGCACATCAATGCGTATAATACGGTATTGATATGATGTGAAGGCCATCATTTACATATTGATAGGGCATTTCATTGATTGGTGACAGAAAAAACAGAAGAAATTATAGCAATAAAAACTGCTTTATGGCAGTTTTCTAAAAAAAGTTATTGTGTTCTAGTCCATGGACCCCGTCTAAAAAGTAAGAAATTAACGAAATGTGATAGCTGAAAATTAAAATTTGACACAAAACCTCACAATAATCACGCACAGAATGAAAAGCTACATGTAGAAGACCTTTTCTCCTCGTGATCCTCTTTCCTATGCATGCATGTTGCCAATTGTTCGTGGAGTACAAGTTTAGTGTTGAAAGCAGCATTTCAAGTGTTGTGATTATTGTGAGGTTTTGTGTGAAATTTTAATTTTCAGCTATCACATTTCGTTAATTTCTTACTTTTTAGACGGGGTCCATGGACTAGAACACAATAACTTTTTTTAGAAAACTGCCATAAAGCAGTTTTTATTGCTATAATGCAAATGTGCATGGCAACTACGGCCGCGGGCGCCGGTAGCTTGGCGTACGGGTTTTTACACGCACACGTGCATGGATCATGGAATCAAGGGAAAAATGTGTACCTTGCAAAACATGTGTACCTATCCAAATAAATGTGTACCTGACGGATTCGGAGCGTGCCACGAATGAAGAGGCTGCCATTCGTGAAAACGAGTTCTCCGCAGGGACTCTGACGAATCCTCGAACCCAGGTGACAAATCAGCATTCGTTTCGTATCCGTACGCGGGGTGCGAAAGGTCCCTATTGTGTCGCTCCGCCCTCGTTCCTCCTCTATGTGTCAAGGCTGCAAATCCGCTACAACCGAAAAAGAGAGGTCACCCAAAGGGGCCGTGTATCTCGTGTATATCCGGGGGACAGGATGTATGTATGCAGAGGAATGTTGTATATCAGCTGGAGTGCAAAGAATGTCCGGAACAATAATGTTGGTGAGACTGGCCGCTTTCTGGAAACTCGCCTGGAAGAACATAATGGTGAGGCAAGACGACAGGAACTCGACAAGCCATGGGGCCAACATTTTCGTACCACTCACCCTGCATGCAAGCTCAACTATGGGCAAAGCGCATTCTCTGCAGTTGAAGTAATAGGAAGAGAGCCTGATCGAGCCCGTCGCAAACTGCGCGAGGCGATTGAGATTCGTGATGCTAAGCCCCATGTGAACATAAGCACCGGATGGGATTTGTTGTGAATTTTCTCAGCTTCCCCTGCTGCTACTTCAATAACGTTATCACTGAATATAATAATTATGAGGCGGGTCACTCAAATCCATTCTGTTTCTGATGCCTCGTGGCGTCCCTGGTGGTAACAGTGGCATGGAAGTTTAACCTCATAGTGCATTGGCGCATGGGCCTCCGTGCTCCCCTCCTGTAATGTGCTAGAATTAACACCATAATTATTTGGCATGTACCCTCACTTCGTAGAGCACAACGGCGCGCTCTTCTTCTCCGTGATATGCACAGTTGTACCTTCTCTCTCTCCCCCCCCCCCCCCCCCCCTCTGTATAGAGGTGACATAACTCGCATCATTATTTTCTTTTTGGCGCTACACTCTGCGTAACGCCATTCACAGAGCACAATGCGCGCTACCTTCTGCTGCTTCTCCGTGATGTGCTAGTTGCACCTTTTCTCTCTCTCTCTCTCTGCCCCCCCCCCCCCCTTCTGCGTACTAGGTGACATAATTCGCATCTTTTTTTGGCGCTACACTCTGCGTATATAGTATTTTACGACTCCCTGGTATATACTGCTCTTGTGTGGCTTCCACGGTATTCATTTACCTGACGATGGCCAAGTGCCGAAACGTAAAAAATAACGGAACTGGTTCGGATGTGATGTGCAGCGCTATGGGAATGGGTGTGTCCACCCCAATTCTTTTCAGAGTATTTTATAAACAGTATTAAGTTTAAACTTAGAAGTTGCGACTTCGGCGGTAATAGTCATGAAGTTGATTGTTCCAACTAGGAACACACGCTTCTTGCCGAACTTGACACTTGACTGACTCACGACTGCCATCCGGAGCACACGAGGAGCACGTCGCACCTTCCACTCGGCAAACCTGCAAGAAAGCACCACTCCCTGCTCAATACACGGTGTTTCGGGGAATTCACCCCTCATCAGTTGAGCTTGAGTAGGCTGAGGAAGATTGTGCCTGAAAAGCACCACTTATATACTGCTCTCCAGGCCAAACCATCACCAGGGATACAAACTTACAGAGACGCTTTGTTTCTAGCGCGACAAACACCTCGTGAAGCTCCAGGTAGCAGCGTGAGTCAGAGTCGCTCATGGAGTTGTGATAAACAGACGTTGAGAGCCAGTATAGCTATTCGCAACGCTGTCACCTCCAACAACTAGTCGCACGTCCGCGTGAGGGACAACAATACGAACTTAGAAGTTGCGACTTCGGCGGTAATAGTCATGAAGTTGATTGTTCCAACTAGGAACACACGCTTCTTGCCGAACTTGACACTTGACTGACTCACGACTGCCATCCGGAGCACACGTGGAGTGGTGCTTTCTTGCAGGTTTGCCGAGTGGAAGGTGCGACGTGCTCCTCGTGTGCTCCGGATGGCAGTCGTGAGTCAGTCAAGTGTCAAGTTCGGCAAGAAGCGTGTGTTCCTGGTTGGAACAATCAACTTCAGTATTAAATTTTATTGGCTCAAAAGCCAATAATATTAAATATTAAAATAAATACTGTGAACAAGAGGTTGGTGCGACTTCGGCGATAGTATTACTAGTAGGGGAGTCAGTCAAGTGAGAATTCAAGTCGGCAGGAAAACCGCGAGCTCCCACGTACGTAGGGAGCAACACACTCTTCCCCTAAAATAAATACTGTTTATAAAATACTCCTTTTTAGGGAAAGTGAAGGTCAACATTCTGTATAATAAATATACCAATGCATGATGTAGTAGCCTCAGGATTTATTGCAATAACATACCTTTTTCACCACTGTTATAAAGTTTTCCTCAAACCAGTTAATGTTTATAAAGTAATACTCCTTTTTAGGGAAAAGCGCAGTGCTACATGGAAAAGTGCATGCAGTGGTATTTATCGAGTCAAAGCAACTTTATTTGAATTTGATACTGTTGAAGGTGGTCACTAATGAGTGTGGGTATTTATCAAAATTTAATGTCTCAGTGTCCAAAAGACTTCAACATATGGACCAATCGCGGTCATCCGTGCTTTTTTAAAGAACGAAATTGCGCTTTTAGTGACATTTTGCATACCGTATGTCACCGAAAACACCGCTGCTTTCCTAGCTATGCTAGATGCAAAATGACTCACCCGCTACGCCATGCTGTAAAAGTCAACGTGTGCACAGAAATTTCAATCTAAATCCACTTGTTCACCCTTCCTGCCGGGCTGTAAGTTCGTAGTATAGTACTTATTCCTTCATTTTTACAAAACATACTTCAAATGTCATTTTTATTATGAAGCCGAGACTGTCTCTATAATTGAATATACCTCCATGGCTTTAAAGGTGCGGACACACGGTACGAATCCCCCCATCTTGTAGGGCGCAGTCACCCAGTTTCGGTGGAAGTGCACGAGTTCGATTGGGAATAAAGGAGGAAGGGAGCGTCTCAGCTTCCTTGGACCAAGACTATTGCCAAGACTGGCAAGAGTACATAACTCCTGAGTAGTCTTGGGGGGGGGAGGGGGGGGGGGGGGGGTTGAGTCGAATGGTCTTGGTAGTCACCAGGCAGTACTAAAAGAAAAGTCGTTTTAGTACTCCTTTGTAGTCACCATAGCTTTACAGCTGATTCGATACTCACACAGGCCGGCGGCGGCGAAGGCTATACTAACAACGGTTAGTAGTTACTGCAGCTTGTAGTATTTCAGTAGATAGTAGATGATAGCGGCATTTGCAAGGATCACCAATAGCCTTGGATCAGTTGACAGTAGTGTGGGATTTCAAAAGAAACTAGCTGATCAATATAGAGACTGATTTGTGGAAGATGTCGGCAACAACAAATGACAAGAGAGTACCCTTAGGGGCTCGGAGTAAGAGAAATTGAACGGATAGTGCCAGTGCGTGAAGGAGAAAGCAACATGATTTGTAGGTCATGATACAGGCCAGCACCGAGCAGCGGCTCTTATATTGAGCATTGCCACAGCACCACTGTGCGCAGTCGAAGACACAAGGAAGAAGGGTTGGCAAATACAGTACAGCCCGATGGCAGGCAAAGGGTGGCCAGCACAGTGCAATGTCATGCTAGAATGAATGTCAACAATGGTAGCGTAGCACATACTATAACGATGATGATGATGATGATGACCACCGGTACAATGCCAATGATTCTCAGGCAGCACTGTACTCATATTGCAATGCAAACCCAGTCTGCATTACGTAGAAATCTGTCAGGAAGCAGGGACAGCAGAAAGAAAACAAACGTCAATGTCTGCAACGAACTCCATCGGCTACAACAAACTTTGAGTGAAAGCGACCCCATGCATTGTACACTGTATATCTAATAAGAACTTTTCAATGCAGGTCTAATGTTGGCACATGCATTTCAACCATGGTAACGCAAGCTTCAACTAATCATCGCATCTCAGTCCTAATTCTGGTAAGAAGAAATAATGCCGGCCTGCTCTCCAAACATTAGTGTACTGTGGGTCCCCGTGTACTACAAATGAGCAGATTAACATGCTGATGATGAGCATGGCCCAAGCATGTACTTGAACAGCCACATCATCCCAATCACTGGCACAGGCCGCTTACCTGCTTGAGGATTGCTATGTGTGGTGATTGTCGTCAACGGCCCTGCCTCACAACTCCGTCCGCTGCCTCCTGTTTGCAGACTTCCTGGTCATTGGCTACAGCGCAGGACAGTCTAGATGTCCTGCCATCATCCAGGCACGTACAGCGGCGGCACTGGTCAATCTGGCGTGTCACTTCCTTCGTCTTCACCTTCAGGAAAGCGTTGGTGAAGGACGTGCCGACGGGACCACCGGTTCGCAAGATCTTGATGTCCCAGGCGGCTCCACCGAGTTCCAGTGCAACGCTAGTGTAATCTCTTCTGGTGGTAAGGTAGCCAGTTCCTGGCCTGCCCAATGTGCAGTTTGAGTACGTACCTCCCTGTCTAACAACATAACCAATCTGTTCAGAGTCCAAACCGAAAGCACGTTCAGTGTCACAGAAGAACTCCTGGTCTACGACCACGTTCAGAATGGCACCAGATCTGCGGACAAGCCTCTTGATGGCCGAGCGTGTGAGATCCGAGCCATGGGGGGAGAAGATGTCGCGCTCTTCGTCCGTAATGAAGATGAGGTTTGTTGCAACGTTCTGCTGGCCAAGACGGAGGCAGTTGCGACCAGAGTTATCGGTGAGGTTTTGCAGCGCGTACTTGATGGCCAAGTATCCATCCTCAATGTTACCACCTTCTTGCAGCTCACTGTTGGCTGCATAGTAGTCACCAATGTTGAAGCAAGCGCTGCCCTGGGCGTTCTTGAAGGCATGCGGCAGCACACCGGAAATGTCACCATTTGCTAATTCATCTCTGCCGAAACCAACCAGAGAATACTGGTTTCTTAGCTCGGGGCTGCTGCCGATGCCGTCATTGACCAGAGACTCTTCCAGCTGTCCAATGGTTCCAGCAAGCCAGGCGTGATAGATACCCATGGAGGAGGACTCATCAACGGCGATGATGATGTCAGTGGCTACATTCTGTCGGGCTTGGCGAATGGATGAATGGATGCTACCCAGCGCGTAATTACCACACCCTGCAGTGTAAGTAAATATCACAGGAAAAAGACAACAAACCGTTCATCTTAGGAACATTTTTTAAATTCTATCAAATTAGTATCAATAGAGCTACACAGCCTGGTCAAGAAATCGATTTTGGCAGGTGAACGAAATTGAAAGTTCAGGAACATTGGCTTCACAAAAAAATTGGTGAACGGCTCACTTCTTCCCAGATACCTCAGTTGACTTGGCAAGCTGTGCTGGGTAGTTCCAGGTACCAACTATCACTCTATATGTAGGTACTGCTTTCCGGCAGAAGGCTGCCTTTCTACAAAAGCATTCGAAAGATGGACTAGTTTCGACTGCACAAACAAGTGTGTCGTCAGTATAGCTTTCATGGCTGGGGTTGTTGGTGCGTCTATCGGCTCTGGGTCTCCAGTACTCAGTTACCACGGCTAGAGGGGCTGGTAGACCTACTGGTAAAATGTACTCTGTGTGGTGTAGACACACACACACGCACACACACACACACACACACACACACACACACACACACACACACACGCGCGCACACACACACACAACCACACACACAACCACACACACACACACACTTACCACAGTCATCACGGAGACTGCATGCCATCGTTTCCATCAGGTTGGGGCACGGTGTACCAATACCACCAGAAGCCTGAGTGATTTCACGAGAACGTGTCTGCATTCCAGCCAAACACGTCACGCTACAAGCCGACCAACCAGTCCAATCACCAACCTGGCAGTCTGGACAGCAAAGGACACAACACAATTGTACCGCTTGTCACTCAAACAAAGACTCTAAAAGATAGCAAGTTTGTGGCACGGGCTAACTCTATGCGCTTCATACACTACGGGAATTGGTCATCAAGTAATCAGTTGTCTTTTGCAAGCACAGTTGTGACATAATCGCATACCCTCTACTTTGCCAGCTTGTGAAAACTTACTCGGATCACAGGTAGGCCGGACTCTGTCCCATCTTGCGCTTGACAAGCAGTTCAAGGTCACTGCACCATTCAGCGTGTAGCCATCGTTACACTCAAACTGGACTGACGAGCCTACGCTGAATGTGTCGCCGATGCGCCTGCCATTAGCCGGTGCACCAGGATCAACGCACACATCCACTGTTTATTTTTACAACGGTAAGAAAAAAGAGAGAAGGGAAGAGAAAAACAAGAAGGATGAGTTCGTATTCCTGGCGGTCAACAAAGAACAATTGAGAGCAATGCGTGACACACGGGCAACACAATATCCTCACTACTGTCGTCTTCCTCACAATAGCCATCATGCAGACACTATTGGTGAGCGTTTCCTTGCCACTACATGCACTTACAAAAAGTTAAAAACACATTGGCAGCGGGTGAGACCAGCTACTTACAAATACACATTGGCAGAGGGTGAGACCAGGTGGCGTCCGACTGGCAAGTAAGGCGAGCCTGTCCTGACAGACGATATCCTTCATTACACTGGTAAGCGGCAATGCCTCCAATTGCAAGGCTGATCTCGGTACGAATGCCATTCTCAATAGTGCCAGGGTCTTCGCAGAAACGTCCTGGAATGGGCAACGACGGGAACAACAAGAACACCAATGGAGATGGAGACTATGACAAAAAGAGGACCGAGGACAACACCACAAGTAGTGCTGAAGCGCTGGCTACACACTGGGGAGAATACCCCCGCACACCACATTGGCTACACACTGGGGGGAATACTCCCGCACACCACATTTTCAGCCAGGTTACGTTGCCCTGGCTCAGCTGGTTCATACTACTGGGGGAAATGATGATGCTAAAATGTCAAGGCACTCAACGTGTGCAATTAGAATGGCATGCCTGGTAGTACTGAGACCAGGAAAACAAAAAAAACTGGATATGCAGTGAATGCAGCGTGCTTACGGCGACAATGAGCTGGTGTGCCTGTCCAGGTTCCATCAGCTTGGCAGGTGCGCTGAATGGAGCCAGACAAGATGTAGCCTTCATCACACTGGAAGCCAAGGTTGTTTCCGTAGGTGAAGGTGCTGCCAGTCATGGATCCATGGAGCGGTGCAGTCAGCTCACAGCATGACACCACTGTTAATATACAGCATATACAAACACGCACGCACGCATACACACACACACACACACACACATGCACACACACATGCACACGCACACAGTGACACACAGAATGCAAACAGAGAGTAAGATGCAACCAATAAGTATTCCCGCATTCCCACAATCCAAATGCCAAGCTGAGAGAGAGAGAGAGAGAGAGAGAGAGAGAGAGAGAGAGAGAGAGAGAGAGAGAGAGAGAGAGCGAGAGAGCGAGAGAGCGAGAGAGCGAGAGAGAGAGAGAGAGAGAGAGAGAGAGAGAGAGAGAGAGAGAGAGGGAGGGAGAGAGAGAGAGTGAGAGAGAGAGAGAGTGAGAGAGAGAGAGCGAGTAAGAGAGAGAGAGAGAGAGAGAGTAAGAGAGAGAGAGAGAGAGAGAGAGAGAGAGAGAGAGTGACAGAGGAAACGGTGAAAATACTTCTCAACTGTCCATATCCGGTGCTAGCCAGAGAAATCCAACCGCATGAATAAAATAGCGCCAGACGCTACGCAGCCCCAGCACTACACACACTATGCTGTGCACTCAAAGGCGGCGCTGCTTTAGTCATGAGGTTAAATTTCTCTCGCCATATCCGTGTACATTGGAAATCTAGCGTACGTCAGAACCAAGCACCGTGATTGAGCAAGCACACATGCTTTGTCACGCGAAACCAGATCAGACAACCTTCCCACGCCAGGGTCATGGCCTTGCGACTTGCGTATACCAAAACATTCCTGACTATGTCCAGTCATCAAGCAGTTGCTAAGCCTGCTGTGACTTTATTCCGTGACCTATTTTCTACTTAGTATTTGCCGGTAGGATCCTTCCCTTCTTGACAATAGCTACTACTACTACTGCACGTACGCGAACACGTATGCGAGCCCTCGGGTCAACTTTGTTGCGGCGCGGCGTTCACTTACATTGACATTCAGGTGCAGACAGACTCCACTGTCCATTGGCCTGGCAGGTACGTGTCATAGCGCCGACCAACGCATAGCCTTGGTTGCACGTGTAGCTGCAATGCCAAACGCAGAGCAAAGCACACAGAGAGTTAGTATAACACACACGGTGAAGAAGAAGAAGTCTGAGTGGACGAGAACGGGTGTTCAGCGCGAAAATGTGACTGCAAAGAGTCTGCCGTGGAACAGCTGATTGCCATCGGATGCCTAACTAAAAATGTGGCTGACAGCATGGCGGAGATGTTGAAGAACACATGAATAGCGAGGAATTGAAGGGAAATACCTTTATGTGATTTACTTACGATGCCTCGCCCAAGTAGTTGAGAGATGGTGCAGATACGCCACCGTTGACCGGAGATGTCACTGGTGGGCAAGTAATCACTGCAGACAGAAAAAAGAACGATGCGAACACTTTCATCACTAGCCTTGCCGCTGACCTACGTCGTTCTACTACTGGAAGCAAGGCAAAACTTGCTGTAACCCCGCTGCACCACAGGCCATGGGCACAGACATGCTATAGGGTACACTTGACACCGGGCCGCGCACAATACACCCCAGAGCCATTTCAGCATTGAACTAAGAAACCCTTCCAAAGCCCATGAAGGCTTCAAGCTTTCATGTAAGGTCAGTGTGGATAGGCGAGACTACGTGTGTGCGAGGCTATGCCGACAAGCTCCAGCACAGTTGTATGTCTGCCAGTGTGCGATTGCAGGGGAGTGCGAACCAAACGCATGCCAACAAGTCTTTGCGCGAATGTGTTCATCCCAATGCAACATCCAATGAGGCTGATAGGCTGATTGTTCTGGAATAAGTCTGGTTGGCGTCTACATTGTTAGATGCAGTTGTGAGCAGACAGGGTACAATAAACTGCCTTCACCCTTCTTCAAGTTCCGGAGAGTCGAACTGAGTTTGAATATCTGAAAGATGTAGAGCAATAGCTGAAAGAACTATCTTTTGACCTCGTTTTGGCCACTTTCGGCTGTTGTAATTGTGTTTTTTCTTGGTGTTCAAGTGGAATGCTGAAAGTCTTAACTTCTTAAAACCAGGGAAAACACAGTGCAGTTCCATAGGGTAGGGGGGGGGGGGGAATACATGCAGCCGTGAAACACTATACCACTTACGTGTACAGACGGCTGGTGGTCCTGACCAAGTGCCATCGGCCAGGCAGACTCTCATGCGCGATCCAGACAGCACATAGCCAGTGTTACAGGTGAAAGACACCTGGCTTGTGAACGTGAAGTCATTTCCTTGACGAGCACCATTGTCAGGCGAGCCCGGATTTCCACAGGAGATGACTGAAACAAGGACAAATAGTGATACATGCCAACTTAGTAAATAGATTAACGCAAAGCATCGTATCATAAAAGGCAACAAATACGTTGACAGGATGAAACCCAAACACTGCCAGTTTCCGCCCAGGTAATAAAACTAGAGTAGATGGCCAAATGTGCATTTCTACAGTCATACACAGTTGCAGATCTGATTGTCATGCGTAACCACCGTCCACTGTTAGTCAGCTTGTAGCAACTAAAAATATGGCAAAGACGCATGTCGCTAGATTACTAGCACTATTGCAGGTAAATCGACTCACTCTGGCAGATGGGAGCGTTGCCATCAAATCTGCCATTTGACTGGCATGTACGCTGGCGACTGCCAACTAGTTGGTAGCCAGGGTTGCAGAAATAGGTCACAGTCGATCCGAGAAGGAGAGACGAGCCGTCGCGGCCACCATTCTCAATGTCTCCAGGGTTGCTACAGATGATAGCTGAGAAGAAAAGACGTGAAGAGGAGAAGAGTATATGATGTCAGTTTACACATGAAGGCAAGAATGCAATCAACTACACGTCTAGATAACATTCATGCCAGTAGAAGGGAGTGCAGTACCACAACACACACACACACACACACACCTCAGACACACACACACACACGCACACACGCACACACACACACACACACACACACACACACACACACACACAAACACACACACACACACAAACACACGCACACACATACACACACACACACACACACACACACACACACACGCATCCACACATACACACATGTACTAACCATTGCACACTGGCTGCGTTCCGCTCCACTGTCCGGAGGCCGTACACTCGCGTCTGGAGGAGCCGACCAGCTCGTAACCTTCGCTGCAGGTGAAGGAGGCTGAGCTGCCGTAGGTGGTGGTGGTCAGTGTCTTACCACCATTGCTTGGTGTGCCTGGATCTCCACAGTCCACGACTGAATAGGACACATAGTCAAACCAAACATAGCGATGAACAGCAAAGCTCAGAACCAGAATCATAACCTGCCTTGCAAGGAATTAGCAACACCGAACGTTATGATGGTAATCCCGGTGGAACATGATAATTATACTTCAACAGCAGTGCAAGCAATCCTATTCTACTCGATGCAGGGTTTTTTAAAGGTACTGCGCAAGAAATGGTAATGTCCAGAATTTAAAGAGAAAGGATGAGAGAAGCATGTCCGCTTAGCTACACCATGCGGCCACACATGAAATGAAACTGCAAAATGATCTAGAGATGAGGAGGAGAACTACTCTGGGACAGCTACTTTGAAGTATATGACAGCATGCCTCTTACTCTGGCATGTTGGCTGTTGACCAGACCAAAGAGCGTTGGCCTGGCAAGTGCGTCGCTGGCTGCCGAACAATGTGTAGCCAGGGTTGCAGACAAAGCTAACGGCACTGGCGTAGGTGGTGGATTGGCCGGTGCGTACGCCATCGGCAACGTTTCCGGGATCGCCACAGTCGATCACTGCACATCATTCACATCAGACACACAGGCAACAAGCACACAGAACACCGAGCCACCCATCGTAACAGTCATAGCGTACGCGCCGGCGACTGCCGCCAACAGTCGCCCAGCTGCTACTTTGATAGCTAGCTAGCTAGCACTATGGATTGGGTGGATTGGAGGCCCCAGTGGCTAAGCCTATACTATGACCTAGACTATGCTATGCGCCTAGCTTGCCCCGCTAGCCCAGCCACAGCTGTGGCCAAGCAGCGGGCCAAGACAACCGACACCTAACCAGCACTAGTAGCAGTAGCAGTAGCAGCAGCAGTATCAGCAAGTGTCAGCACTCACAGACACATGTGGTGGCCACACCGGACCAAGTGCCCCTAGCAAGGCAGGTGCGCAGCTCTGAGCCGGCAAGGTTGTAGCCCGTATTGCATCGGAATGACACCTGAGAGTTGTACGTGAAGGAAGAGCCGGTAACAACACCTCCAGAAAGAGGACCAGGATTGCCACAGTCGACAACTATACAAAGAAAGGAAAAAACAAATCAAGAAACAATCAAACAATCAGAAGGCTAGACATAATATTATATTCTCCTACAGGGCAAGATTGATAACTCATTCTGTTGGAAGACCCTGATATAGAGTCTCCACTTCAAACCCTCAAGATTGGGGTGCATAAGGTAGTAGTATGGGATAGACATTGAAAAAGCTTCATGGAGACTAGATATAGTCTGTTTCGATTAGGTAAGTATGTCTCCCTGGATTGAAACTTTGTTCTACTGTGCATGTGCTAGCAGACATGCTGTTAATAGAAGCATGGCTAGTAGTAACGTCAACACACAGTACTTCTTCACATGTGACATGTAGCACACAGTACTTCTTCACATGTAGCACACACAGTACTTCTTCACATGTGACATGTAACACAATCATGAAATGAGATGCTTGTGGAACATGCCAAGTGCACACTGTAATAGAACAAGGCGAGCAAAACATCTTTTCCAGATTTACCTTCGCACGTGGGCAGAGTGGAGGACCATGATGCCGTGAGGCCACCAGCATTGGGCTGACAGGTTCGCTGCTCGGAACCGCGCAGGCTATATCCAGTGTTACAGGTGTAGTCGACAATGGCACCGATAGATGTAAGCGTGAAGTCGCGATCTCCGTTCAATGGTCTCTCTGGGTCGGGGCATGACAACACTGCACATACACAAAGAACACACATACACATACAATTTATAGGAAAGAAGACCCGGACCAAGGAACTACACGTTACGCTATAATGTCCAATTAACACCACTAGTGGCTCTCCATCCGAGTCCATACATACAACAATGTTTTAAAACATTAAGTCATGTTAGAATCAAGAACAGAAGCTAGTAATGTGATATTGGTCATTCGTAGCCTTCGACATTGCAACAGTACCGGGTAGTACATGACTCGACATTGCAACAGTACCGGGTAGTACATGACTCGACATTGCAACAGTACAACATCTAGGTAGTACATGACTGGACATGCACAGGCATAACAAGCGTTTTCCAGTGATACTCATCAGAATCTATAAAAGGATATTTTTAGTGGCACATACGAGTACATGTACAGACAGAGGGGTATGTGTGCAAGAGTAGGAATGCTGAGGCGCTTGTGTAGCCAGAAGCTAACATCTTATTGCTAAACACGTGAACAGGGCATCGGCTGAACTCACAGACACAACGAGGAGCTGGATTACTCCACAAGCCAGCCGACGTGCAGTCGGACTGCTGAGAACCAACCAGACGGTAGCCAGAGTTGCACGTGAAGGACACAGTGGCACCAAAGCTGAAGACTTCGCCATTTCGCACGCCATTGGCCGGGACTCCTGGGTTTCCGCACGTGATCACTATAGGAAGCAAACGAAAGAAGTGAACGTGTTAAGAAACTGGTCACGTAACATGGTCATCCGGGTGCATGCCGGTTTACCATCGAAACCCCTACAACCTGCATACATATCCTGGGAGTGTGGAGGGGCAGAGATATCCTGGGAGTGTGGAGGGGCAGAGATATCCTGGGAGTGTGGAGGGGCAGAGAAAAACATTAACAGGACATAGCATACAGACCATGTATACATGATGGTGATGATGATGATGGTGATGATGATGAACATGTGGGGCGGTACAGTACTACAAGAGGCTGCTAAGGGTAACCCATGCATTTAGGAGATACGGAGGAAGGGGACATCATGTGCAAGGATTAAGTATAGGATTGTCGATAACCCGATGTCGAAGGCAGTTTAAAAAAATGTTGTTTTCTTACTGAAGACACAACCTACTCGTAAGAAGAGGAGAGAGAAGTAGCAGGACCACCTCTATCATGCAGTATTCTGTTCTCGAGGTTCGTGGTTTCTCGTAAAAAAACAAAACAAAACAAAAACACAACACTGCGGGGAAGAGTAGGGGCTCCAAGAAGGAACCTGTGCTGATGAGGCAAGCCAGCAACGCCAACCTGTGGTCTCGGAGTGACCGCGAGCTGGCGCACCGTGAGAGTTAACGGTGTGATTATCAGTAAGACCGATACTTTTCTCAAGGGATGATACAGGCTCCCAGGAAGCACGAATGCAAGAACAGTGACAATTACTTACGCATGCAGACCGGAGGCAGCGTAGACCACTGGCCGTTGGCCTGACAGGTGGACATGCGCGCACCAAGCATCATGTAACCAGTATTACACGTGTACACGGCAGAGCCTGCGTACTGCGTGCTGCTAACCACACTGGTGGAGAACGCTGGATCATCGCGAGCCCCACAGTCCACAACTAAACAAATACAGACACAGGCACAACAAACACATACCTGCTCGGACACACTTTATACTAGCTAATCCGAACCACGCTTCTAGAGCTAAATGGAAGATAATAATTATAGCTACTGCATATAAACACCAACCATGAGTACTGCATACATGTAAATCAAAATCTAGAAAGGCCAACTCTTCAGCGGTATACATATACAAGCATTACAGATGCCCTTTAACTTGATTTGCGTGATGAGAACAGACTTACTTTGACAGCTTGGCAGCAGATTGCTCCACTGACCATTAGCCATACAGCGTGCGTGGCTCTCTCCAACCAGGGCGTATCCCGTATCACAGATATAGTTGACCTCGGACCCGAACCTCAGACCAGTGTTGCCGTCAACGCGATCGCCGTTCTCGGGACGGCCCGGATCCAGGCAAGTGATTTCTGGTGGAGGCAACGATACAACACCACAACAATCGATAAGAAACAAGCATACACCCTGGATTTCTTTACTAAAACCAGGATTATGTGCCGACAGTACATCTAGAAAAATCAGGCTTGCCTTCAAAACAGGCTTCTAAATGAGACAGATGTTTATACAAGACACTACGGTAGTCCCAATCCTGGCCAGCTACTGTGCAGTCAATGGCTGCAAAGTGTACATAACTTCATATTAGTACTACTTCATATGCTATTATCCTTAACGGTACAAACAGTGCAAGGCAACAAGTAAAGACAGGTGGGTACATAGCAACTGCAAACAGCAGATGAATGACGTGCTGGGCAAAAGAAAGCTGCTGCTGCCTGCAAAGCAGCCCCTTACCAACACAGTTGGGTATGTTCTGGTTCCAATTTGCTGACGTTCCATCGTCATTGGCCAAGCATTCTCTGTGATCACTGCCGCGCAGCGAGTAGCCAGGGTTACAGGTGAAGTTGACACGAGCGCCCAGAGTAGTACGGTCCAGGTAGCGATCGCCGTTGATGGGAGAACCGGGGTCGGCGCAGTCCAGGAGGCGGCAGGTAGGCGGAGAACCGGACCAGCGGCCGGATAGCTCGCACGTCAACTCCTGCAGTCCCACCAGGTTGTATCCGGGCACACACTCAAACAACACTTGACTGCCGTACGTGAACGTGCTGCCAATGCGCACTCCATTGATCGGTTGACCCGGATCACCACAAGTCACCACTGGAGAAGGACAAGGCAATACATATCAATACATATCAGACAACACACACACCAAACCTTTCAACTTCTGACATAATACCAGGGCTTCAACAACCACCGACGCAAGGAAGTAATAATTCATCTGAAAGTCACTAGCATAATAAACGTTACGACCATTGCTTCAGTCTAGAGTGTGTTTGCTGTAGTGCGTTTCACATCTGCAGCACGCAATCATTGCTCACTACAGACAGCTAATCATCATCGTCATGATGCTCATGTGCAAACATACTGCACTGTGTGTGTATCACTGCTTAGTTCATGTGCAAACCCACTGTACATGTGTGTGTGTGTGTGTGTGTGTGTGTGTGTGTGTGTGTGTGTGTGTGTGTGTGTGTGTGTGTGTGTGTGTGTGTGTGTGTGTGTGTGTGTGTGTGTGTGTGTGTGTGTGTGTATCACTACCCTAATCACTACTTACAGTTGCACACAGGACTGGCACCGGACCAGAGACCGTTCTGCTGGCAGCGACGCTCGCCCGTTCCGCTCAGCACGTAGCCGGGCAGACAGCTGATCGTGGCAATGCTCTGGTAGCTGCTTGACTGGAATGCCACGTTACTGTTAGCAGGCTCTTCTGGTGCCCCGCAGTCCACAGCTGTGTGCAAGAAGAGTAACACAAGGAACATGGATGCTTCCAATCTAGCCAAAGGCCCAGTACATTGATATACATACGAACATGCATGCTTCCAATCTAGCCAAAGGCTCAGTACATTGATATACATGGAATTCGCCCATTGATCTTTTGCGGAACACAACAAGGCCAGCAAGCGCCATGTCTGGATGTCTACTTTTCTGGCCAAGAGCAAAAAGATTCCTGATAGACAAACACAGGCGGAGAAGAGAACCGAGTGCAAAGGAATGAACCAAGCTACATGTTTGACATACATATGTGCGTGTGTGTGTGTGTGTGCGCGTGTGTGTGTGTGTGCGCACACGTGTGCGTATGTGTGTGCGTGCATGCGTGCATGCGATCACTCACGTTGACACGAGGACTGCTGTCCAGACCATAGGCCGTTTGCTTGACAGGTACGCACCATGGAGCCAGTAAGGATGTATCCGTCACTGCAAGTGAAGCGTACTTGAGATCGGTACACGGTCTCCGTGCCGGACATTTGACCATTGTTGGGCGATGATAGTGTTCCACAGTCCACAACTGCAAATTTAAAAAAAAGAAAAAAGCATAGAGGGGAGTGAGACCATACCCAAGCCCCTTCAGGATATGATCTTTACATTCACTGCTGACCCAAACAGTGGCAGACACCAGTAGATGCAGCTCAAACATTGCTGCCGCAACTGATTATTGACAATTCACAATGTCCAGGGCATGAAAACTGAGGGATGGTAGCAGTGATGTCTTGCTTACTCTGGCATTGAGGCATGGCTGAGTCCCAGTTGGCACTGGTAGCATCCGCCGACAGGACACACTCACGGCGCACAGCTCCCGTAATGCTGTAGCCCGTGTTGCAAGTGTAGGTCACCAACGAGCCAATGTTGTTCCTGGAGATGTCGCGGTCGCCGTTCACAGGGATGCCGGGGTCTGGGCAGGCCAGTGCTGCATACACACACACACACACACACACACACACACACGGAGTACAGACACCAGTGAAAACACAACTTAGATAGAGTACAGAGTATATGCATTGCACTAACATGCCCAGAACAGAGTATATGCATTGCACTAACATGCCCAGTACAGAGTATATGCATTGCACTAACATGCCCAGTACAGAGTATATGCATTGCACTAACATGCCCAGTACAGAGTATATGCATTGCACTAACATGCCCAGTACAGAGTATATGCATTGCACTAACATGCCCAGTACAGAGTATATGCATTGCACTAACATGCCCAGTACAGAGTATATGCATTGCACTAACATGCCCAGTACAGACAATTACATGAACATGTACATGGTGCAGTACCATGGCAACAAGAAACTATGGGCAACTTATGAGACAGAGTGGCAACACTAGCACACGGAAATCAAGGGCAGTATGCTCATCACGCTATCTCAATACATAATCGTCATTTGCAAACTACAGAAGTTGGCTGCTACACCAGCACTTTTTAACAACTTGTTCAAACAATACAGTCATACTCTCCCATGTGCAAATATGAAGAGAATATCTACAGCATTGGGTAAGATGAAGATACAAGTATAAACGGCGCTGAGTTCCTACCTTCGCACAGCGGTACACTGCTGCTCCACGAACCATCACTCTGGCACGTAACGGAACTGGCTCCAACCAGAACAAAACCTCTCTCGCACTCGTAGCGAATCGTTGCGCCGACGTTGAAGGAGGTTCCCGATACTCCGCCGTTCATTGGTGCTCCTGGGTCCCCACAGCTTATCGCTGCACGCATGAAAACAAGGCATGGTACAGTAAGTCAATGATCCAGACAGTGCGGACATAGTTACAACAGTCCAGGCATAGGCAAGCTTAACAACTTCGATTCCTAAAAAAGCTATACAAAAGCTGCCAGGGCTCGAGTCAAAACCAGTCAGACTGACTTCTGTACTTTCTGTAGGAACAGAACTGCCCTCAAGAATCAAGGCGTCAGAAGCAGGTTGCAAAACCATACTGAACTGAACATAAACAAGTGGCAGGTGCATTGCAATGGGACACAGAAGGAAACACACGGATTACAGCCAACAAAATAATATCCAATGACACAGCCCGGTCCTACGCAACCAGTCACATGAACACACGTGCACGCACACACACACACACACACACACACACACACACACACACACACGCACGCACGCACGCACACACGCACACACACACGCACGCACACACACGCACGCACACACACACACACACACACACACACACGCACGCACACACAGTCGACAGGGGCGTGCTCGCCCCCCCAACTAGGGGGGTGCACGGGAGCCGAGGGGAGCCCCCCCCTGGCAATTTTCTGAAATTTGTTTGCAACCTTTCTTGAATTTTAGAGCATATTTGCATACATTACAATTGCAATTACCCAGATTGAAAATGTTTGGGGGGTGCACGTGCCCCCCGTGCCCATCGCCGAGCACGCGCCTGGTCGAGCACTGATGATTCCTGATGGGCAAGCATGCAACTACTTACGAACACAGGTTGGTGCAGCTCCCAGCCAAAATCCATTGGCTTGGCAATCGCGGGCATTGAGGCCGACCAAGTTGTAACCGGTGTTGCACTGGTAGCGAGCCGTAGATCCATAAACTGTTGATGCCAATGACACACTGCCAAACTGTGGGCTTTCCAGACTTCCACAGTCCACGACTAAAAGAGAAGCAAAGGGCAGAGAAATCCGTTTCATCACAGTGGACTGAGGCATGGGTATCATACAGTGTGTGTGTGTGTGTGTGTGTGTGTGTGTGTGTGTGTGTGTGTGTGTGTGTGTGTGTGTGTGTGTGTGTGTGTGTGTGTGTGTGTGTGTGTGTGTGTGTGTGTCTGTGTGTGTGTCTGTGTGTGTATTTTCAATTGCACATCAGGACCATACAGAATGGACCAAGATGGGATATTATACACACCCGCACAGACGCACATACACAAACACGCACGCATGTACCAAGGGCGGCACTCGGCGGGCACCAGCGCCCACATGCTAGCATTCAACTTACCCTGACAAGTTGGTTGAGTGCCGGTCCAGGTACCGTCCTCAGTGCACAGTCTAGCAGTACTGCCAGTAATTGTGTAGCCAGGATTGCACATGAACTTTGCTTCAGATTCAAAGGCATTGCTGGGAATGAGACGCATGACACCGTTCTCAGGCTGGCTAAGCTGGGGACAAAAAATACCTGAAATCCAGACCCCACAAATCAGAATGAAAAAGAGAGAAAAAAGGTGTTTAGCATTATGTAACACCATCACCAATACCTACATGCTTTAGAGGTTACATGGGCGACCAAGCAGCACAGCAGGCCAGACTCTGTCTACACTATAGATATGTCACGTGACCACAGGCCAGACCCTGTCTACACTCTATACTATAGATATGTCACATGACCACAGGCCAGACCCTGTCTACACTTTACATGTATACACTATAGATATGTCACATGACCACAGGCCAGACCCTGTCTACACTCTACACTATAGATATGTCACATGACCACAGGCCAGACCCTGTCTACAGACTACACTCTACACTATAGATATGTCACATGACCACAGGCCAGACCCTGTCTACACTCTACACTATAGATATGTCACATGACTATATACAGTAGCCCAGTCCTGTGAGGTTGACTGTTCAGAAAGACTGGGGAACATCTCAGGAATAGAGTTAGTCACAATGATATTCACAAGCCATGCACGAAGCATACCTGAACAAGAGGGTAGAGAGCCTGTCCAGCTAGCAGAGAGGCCATCTTGTGAGATTTCGCAGGAGCGAGAGTCGGTTCCTTGCAAGCGGAAGCCTGCATCGCATGTGTAGTTGACTGAGGCGCCGCTGATGACGGAACGAATGTCCCAGTCTCCGTTGCCGGGCATGCCTGGGTTCTCGCAATACAGAGCTGCAAGTGAACACATTCCACACACACGCACGCACGCATGCACGCACGCACGCACGCACACACACACACACCACACACACACACACACAGTGGAATACAGCACATTGCACACACACACACACGCACACACACACGCACGCACGCACACACACACGCACACACACACGCACACACACGCAGGGGAAACCAACTCGTCACACTCAGACATGCCTAATACACCATGCGGAAACACTTTGTACACTGCCACCCCTCAGTATCACCAGCACCGTTAGGGGAAAAGGACTATCTCTGACATCAATCAGAAGGCAATGCAAACTCAATGCCACAGAAACTCAGTATCACCTGGTAGTGATACAGTGACCGCAGCAACACTGACAAAGTAAATTTACAACGTTTTTGAGGCGACGCATGTATCGTCAAAAACCTACCAACACAGAGCGGTGTCTGGCCTGACCAAGTTCCGTCAGCCTGGCACACACGTGACGCAGATCCAACCATCTGGTAGCCCGGGGAGCACGTATAGCCAACACTATCGCTGTAGTCAAAGTCAAAGCCGATCAGGTTACCATTGGCTGGCGTGCCTGGGTCACCACAGCTAACCACTGCAAAACAACAAAAGATAACAAGAGAGATGATAAACACATTAGATTGGGTTATCCATGTTACCAAGTTCCCAAATGTAGACTGGTTCTTTTATTCTTTTATTGATCTTTGCCCATGCAAACAAGCAAGCAAACAAAGCCTTTCTGCAGGCAATGATAGACGCGTGCAAATGTGTAGAATACGTACCAGGAGATTAATCCTTACGTACAGACTCAACTATTAAAATCTCTACTTCAAGAAGTATGACCCCCTCCCCCCACCACCACCAAACCTGGGAAACATTGAACACCATTCCTAGATCTGTATGCGGAAAACACAGTCAACATGATCTAGGTGAACAGATCTAGGTGAACATGATCTAGGTGAACAGATCTAGGTGAACATGATCTAGGTGAACATGATCTAGGTGAACATGATCTAGGTGAACATGATCTAGGTGAACATGATCTAGGTGAACATGATCTAGGTGAACATGATCTAGGTGAACAGATCTAGGTGAACAGATCTAGGTGAACATGATCTAGGTGAACATGATCTAGGTGAACAGATCTAGGTGAACATGATCTAGGTGAACATGATCTAGGTGAACATGATCTAGGTGAACACGATCTAGGTGAACACGATCTAGGTGAACACGAACTAGGTGAACACGAACTAGGTGAACACGAACTAGGTGAACATGATCTAGGTGAACATGATCTAGGTGAACATGATCTAGGTGAACATGATCTAGGTGAACATGATCTAGGTGAACAGCTTACCAATACATGTTGGTGTGACTGCCGACCATTGACCATTGAACTGACAAGTAGCCACGTTGCTACCAGCCATCACGTAACCCGGATTGCACATCCAGTTGACAACGCTCTCAAAAGTACTGCTACCGTACGCCGCATCGCCATTGGCCGGTGAACCGGGTGGACCGCAATCAATCTCTGCAGCGACGCACAAACAGACCAGCAAACCGGTGAGCAACAGCATAATACAGTGTACAACGTACCCCAGCAGAGACCGGCTCAACATACTACTTAGTATCCGGGAAACCTGGCAAACCTGGAAAACAACCCTGGCAAACCCTGGAAAACCCTGGCAAACCCTGGCAAACCCGACATTTGGATATCAAATGAAGATTCAGGAGACTCGAGCGTACATTTTCTGATACTCTTGGCAATATAAGTCACTTGAATAACTAGTAGTTTAGGCACATACACAATAGGAACTAGAGAAAACCTACACACACACACACACACACACACACACACACACACACACACACACACACACACACACACACAGGTGATATACATGTACATGGTTGGCTTCTCAACTCACGAACACAGGTTGGATCCTCGCCAGTCCACATGCCGGTGCTTTGGCAGGTGCGTGTGACGTCACCTTCCAGCACGTAGCCCTTGTTGGAGCATGCATAACCGATGGACGAGAGGTAGGTGTACGATCTTCCGTTCAGGACAGCATTGTCAGGCGTTGCCGGTGCTCCACAGTCAACAACTGAAACAAGCAAGGAGAACAGGTGTGTCGTTAAAAAAGGGATAGTGACCACAGTATTCTTTACATAGTCTCTCTGCAAAGCAATGACTCTATTCCAGGCCACCACTTTTCAATCCGTGGAGCTGAAGCCAGTAGAAAAAGAAACACCAAGCAGAATTCTGTCTCCAAATCTTGAAATTGATCTTATAACGATTGGAAGAACTGCTAATATAATTATATTTTCTTTTTTGACAGGCTGGTTGCATAGTGGTAGTGTTACAAACAGAACACAAGCCATGGCCAGGTCCAGGGGCTTTGCTGCTCACTTTGACAAACTGGTGCTGTTCCAGTCCACACTGCGTTGCCTTCGCTGTTGACCTGGCAGGTGCGCGATGGAGAGCCCCCTGCCATTCTGTATCCGGTGTTACAAGTGTAGGTGACCTGCGAGTTCACCAGAAGACTGCTCAGGGTGCGGCCACCATTGGCTGGTGTACCTGGATCGGCGCATGCAATTGCTGCATAGCAGGAGCAGAAGAAACACACACAAAGCCAGAACATTTCACTTGCAAAGCGTGAGCTCATGGTGTGTGTTTAAAAATCATCCAATCGAGACATGCAGGAACTCATCCAGAGCCCAGGAAAAAGCTCTGTAATATGATGACTACACAGTACAAACACCATCGACGGTACGCATGCATACACATAGAGTCTACAGTGCAGTGAGGGTGAAGTACATGTGGAGATTCACGTTAATCTGTAGTCTATACGTGAACAGTGAAAACTACATGATACTTGGCCATGAAAAAAAATGAGTAGCAGTAGAAGACTGTCTGCACAAAAAATGTAAAAATAAATCAATGAACTCTCAATAGTGATGGTAATACTTCGACGTGATAATACTTTCCGGGATGTGACTAACAAGTACACTCGTTCACCTACCATTGCATGTTGGCAAGCTGCGGGACCACATGCCGGTGGCAAGGCAAGTGCGGCTGCGTGTTCCATCCAAGCTGTATCCAGGTACGCAAGAGTAGCTGACTTCAGCGTTATATGTGAACACATCACCATTGCGAATACCATTGCTTGGTGTGCCAGGGTCACCACAAGTTATGACTGTAAAAGAAAAACACAAAGAAAAACATAGTGTTCTGAAATAATCCATTCCATTTCTGATGTATGATCTCAGAATCAGAATAATGAGCCTATCTCAAAACAGAGAGAGAGAGAGAGAGAGAGAGAGAGAGAGAGAGAGAGAGAGAGAGAGAGAGAGAGAGAGAGAGAGAGAGAGAGAGAGAGAGAGAGAGAGAGAGAGAGAGAGAGAGAGAGAGAGAGAGAGAGAGAGAGAGAGAGAGAGAGAGTACCGGCAAGGAGTATTTCCTTTCTTTACGCATTGTGCAAGCTCAAGCTGGATACAAATCTATTTCATTCCTTGGTCCCGAGTCCCTTCGCACAAAATCATATCCCCAATTCATTTTGCCAGGAACTTAACAAATTCATTCATCTTGGGCACCCTGCTAGGGTCTGTTGGGAATGCCCAAGTAAAATAATACAATACAATGTGTAGAAGTGTAAGACGAGATAAAGCCACTGAAAGTATTGTTCAGACTTACCAACACAAGACGGCGGTGAACCACTCCAGTCCCCATTCTCCTGGCAACGACGCACTGCTCCACCACTGAGCATGTAGCCGGGTCCGCAGCTATAGCTCACTTCCTCGTTGTACGTGAAGACCGTGCCAGAGCGAGTAGCTTGATCGACCTGTCCTGGATCTCCACAGTCAATCACTGCAAGAAGCAGCACAGTGGAACATGCGTGTAAGGGAGGTATACAGAGGCAGAGACGTAGCCTGCAGACTTCCAGTCAAAAGCTGAACATATCCACTTGCAGTCTTGCATTTGACTCATAACAGCCAGGGTTGGAAAGATGCCAATGATGATATTATTCTACACAAGAACTAGCCGAAAAGAAGGATGCATGAATACAACAACAATGACTATACTTACATCGGCACACTGCCTGAGTTCCAGACCATTCGGAGTTGGCTTGGCACAGGCGCCTCTCGCTGCCGAGAAGAACATAGCCGTTGTCACAACCAAACTCAACCTCGGCCAGGAACTCCAGTCCCTCGCCGTTCATGTAACCATTGGCGGGTGATGCGAGTTGGGGACAGGCCACCGCTGTAAAGTAGTAATACATACAGGAATGTCAAAATTCAAAACAAGATTGAAAAGATTCTTGGTTGGAGGGAAGTAAACCAACACCACGCAGCACAGAAGTCATATAGTTTCGACTAGGCCTTTCGCACCACTACTTTTCAAGTCGAATACAATGGCGATTCACTTTGTGTGTTCGTCGAAACAAGAGATTCACACTCATGGATGAAAGATTGCAGCACCAGAGAATCAAGACAATACTATCCAGGATTAGCACCCACTCACGTTCACAAGAAGGAGCTGGAGTGGTCCATTTTCCATTAGCGCCGCACACACGGCTAGAACCTCCGTTCAGAGAGAATCCAGAGTTACAGGAATAGGTGACCAGCGACTCGAATGTCAAGTTTGCGCTGGCACGGTCACCGTTCTTGGGCGTTTCTGGTGAGTCGCAAGCCACTGGCTCGCAGACTGGCTGAGAGCCTGACCAAGATCCACAGGCCATGCACGTTCGTTGCGGTGATCCTCTCAACCAGTAGCCGTCATCGCACTTGAAGTCAACAACCGACTTGTACGCATCCGCAAGGTCCAGACTGCCGGCCGATGCTACAGCATACGAGCCCTTCTCCGGTGAGATGGGCTGCGGACAAGTGTTCACTGCAAAGAAAGGAGCAAAGAATGTGTCGCAGTTAGATTGGCATTGAAGAGTATCTCCTACCCCCTTCTTTTCCTCCCATGTAGTGTAGAGAAATACAAGTGGACATCAACTCAAGGCAACACATGCTGTAGACTGAAGTATACTACTATGGAATGCAGCGTGACAGTGGTAAATATACCATGTGACAGTGGTAAATATACCATGTGACAGCACAGTACCATACTCACATGTACACACGGGGTCGGATCCGTTCCATGCACCGCTGGACATACAACGCCGTACATATGTGCCGGCCAGGGTATGGCCTGTCTCGCAGGAATAGTACGCATTGCTGTTCAGGACTCGGCTTGGCTGGAAGACGGCGCCGTTCAGTGGGCTAAACAAGTCCGGGCATTGAACAGCTGCGGAAAGCAATTAAACCCACAAACACACAGTTTGCAGAATAAGCCATTGCCATGTAGCCGTTTCCAGCCATTTCGGCCATGCAAAAGTAGAGACAGCATGCCACGAAAGATTTATGCTACGCTGATAACATATTGGTATTGGGCAGAGTGGAATATTTTAGCGAGTACGATACGAGTTGACTTACGGGCGCAGGTTGGTTGAGTTCCGGTGAATGTGCCACTCGTCGAGCATTCTCGCCTAGCAGAGCCGCTCATGACATGACCAGGTTCACAGGTGTACTCCAGCATACCACCAAGAGTCAGGTCATCTCCGGTACGGCCACCGTTCAGTGGCAGACCAGGGTCAGGGCAAGTGACAACTGCACACACACACCACACACACACCACACAGATCATGGCAACAGAATAATGTGTGATGGGGAACGAAAGTGAAAAATGGTTCATACAGGATTAGAGAGTTGAGTTGCACACATGGTACGTCATCAAGAGACCTGTCCTAACCCAAGATTGCCCAAAGAGAGTGAAGCATGCTTTACATGTGTTATGATAGTAATCTGTGTCTATGAGAATAAACCCCTTGAATAACTGGGTCTGTCGATTTTTTGAATTGACAAAATCCCCACTACACACAGGCATTGATGGATGTAAGCATGTGCGTACTAAGCATCACATTATATTATGCATTCACACGCATCCACATGCAAGAACATACACACACACATGTATACGCACACAGTGCATATCTTACTGATGCAAGTTGGTGGGACACCAGACCAGCGGCTGTTGCGCTGGCACTCGCGAGTTTCATGCCCGTTGAGAAGGTAACCGGGACTGCATTGGTATGTTCCAACGCCGCCCAGCCCAGTGCCCCCGTTCAGCGTCACTCGGCCATTCACAGGAGATGTAAGGTCACCACAGTCGATCACTGCGACAAGCCACACAGAAAGTCATCAGCTTCAGGCAGTTGCACGCCGCACAAGGACGAACGCACACCCTTCGAGGCACATTGGAGGCCTCAGTGCTACATGTGTACGGGAAATGTAGTGCGGCAGCAAATGTTGCAATGCAGCGGGCGGCCAGACAGGGCAAGTCACGTAGAAGAGGAGGAGGAGGACAAGGACGAACACTGAGGGACACTGACGATACGATGGTGACCATGACCATGACAGCAGAACGAGTACTCTCACCTGATCAGTGCTGTGTGTGTGTTGCCTGCACTGTGGTGTCATCTTGCACGCACACACTGGCAAATAGCACAGGCTGCTGCTGCTACTCCACAACAGCAGATGAATAAAACTACTGTACAGCTTATCAGAGTAGTGAATCATTTATACATAGAAGCAGAAACTACGTTAAGATAACACAGTTATAATCATACGATAGCAAAGCAGCATGGCACAAAATTACCCCACCCACGCCTTGCAAAACCAAGTCCAAACTTTTATTTCTATGCCTAGATTTTGCTCACTGAGGCCTCCACTTATCCTAATTAAGACGGTACATAACCCCACGCTTGCAAGCAATGGTAAAGTCACTGATTACACCGGGAATTGCCTTTAAGATATCCAGTGTGGTGGAGGTTCGTACCCGGCACATTCAGACTTTACCCTTGGGTGCAAGACCAAGTACTAGTAGACAGTTTTCAAATCCTATTTAAGTCCCAAGCATATAAATAAGTACAAGCCTAGCTATGTCGAATCATGTAACACAATTAAGCACACATCACATTCATGGACACTCCTATGAAAACATGTGATAAGCGAGAGATCAGACATCTCATTCTTCATACATTGACAGGCTGGTGCACTTCCGCTCCACTGGCCGTTCGCCTGGCACACGCGATAGACATCGCCAGAGAGAGAATAGCCGTTGTTGCAGTTGTAGCTAGCCGAAGAGCCGTAGGTCGTGGATGAGACGGTCACGGCGCCGTTATCGGGGTTGACCAGAGAGCCGCAGTCAATTGCTAGCAACGAATAACCAGACAATTAACATCAACAAACACAGAAGCGAGGAGCTGAGGACCAATGGCAAATAAACAATACAAGTTCAAGTAGACATGTGGTTATGTATGCTAACACACGGACTGAAAAGAATGCTTGCTGCAGGGACGACAAGTTGGTATCCCCAGCACTACCACGGTTTGTTGACAACACAGTCTGACAGTCTGACAGTCAACAACATGCACTACTTTCTTTGCATACCTCGGCAAGTGGGAGCTACTCCTGAGAAAGCACCACTGGCGGAGCACGTAATGGTCTCAGTGCCTTCGAGCACATAGCCAGCATTGCACGAGTAGGTCACGCTGGTGCCAAACTCGAAAGTACTGCCGCTGTTGTCGCGGGCGCCGTTCGCAGGCGTTCCTGGGTCAGGGCAAGTCACGGCTGCAGAGGGCAACAAGCAAAACAACAGAGACAAACACCACCACTGGGGATAAGAATGGCGGGTCATACACTGCAACAGAGCTGAACGTGGATTCACAACACCCATTCATCAGTGAGTGTACGAAACGAGAGTAACGCGTACACTTCAATAATGCTGGTACTACTGATCACATTATGTATTTGTATTTGTACTCATGGATTCTCCATAGGCCTCGGCCTAAATCGAGGGAGTCATGTACAGAGTAGGGCAGTCACATGGCAAGCAGGAAGACCCTTACGCTGGCAAACAGGCGGTGACCAGCTCCAGAGACCAGACACGGTGCAGCGCAATGCAGTGGAGTTGGACACCTGGTAGCCAGGATCACAGGTGAATGTGGCCAATGAGTTGTAGACAGCCGGGCTGGACTGACTGACTGTGCCGTGCATTGGGTTGTTCAGACGCGGGCAGTCGATTGCTGCACACATTAGAACACATGAGACCACAGCACACATATGAATAAATGCTTTGCTCGTATGAGCCAAGAGACGCGCACTTTCGCATGCATGCAAGGAAACGGAACAAAGCGTGAATACATTTAAGCATCTAGGCAAGCATGCACCAACAATAAATTCAATTTATCTCAAATCACACCACTAAAAGTACTACATGTACTAGTATAGCGAGGCCAGAAATAAGTATCGAAGGCATTTAAACTTTCTAAAAGTGAGGAAATCTTACGTCTGCACACGGGGCGAGTGGAGAACTCAGGCATTCTGTTGTCAGGGTTGATGAGGCACACACTCTCGGTGGGACCATCGACGATGTAGCCGGAGTCACACTGCCACTGGACAGTGGACAGCAGCGAGAAGTCCTCGCCAAGACGGAAGCCATTGTCGGGGAATCCTGGATCGGGGCAAGCTGTGCCGCAACAGACAGCAGATAGCACAATCTATGAAATTACGTGGTCACATTGTGGTGTAAATAAACAGAAATGAAAAAAAATGCAACTAGCCAAACCAGGAACTAAGAGAGTTTGTGTTTCATGGAGAACGGTGGTTGCCATGCGGTACACATCTGCTGTGCACCTGAAGGAAATGTTTTGGGCATATATGTGATATGGGAAAAGCCATAGGATTGTGGATGTTGAGTTTTTGTTGACCTGGACAAATTCCAGTCGCACACATCACACCATAGACGACTTACAGCAGGCAGGGAGCTGAGGGCAAGCCTGTGTGTCGGTGAGAGGAGGGCAGCCGTCATTGTTGTTCGGTCCAGCTCTGTTGGTGATGTAGCGGTAGCGAGTGCGGGTACCCGAGCCGCAAGTGGCGGAACAAGCGGTGAACTCACCCCAGTCGGAAGCACGGCAAGCTGTGGACATGAACAAGGTCGCAAGGAGAAGAAAATAGACTCAATATAGATGTGTTACTACCCAAGTAGCTAGTAGTTCAACCGGTAGCATGACATTACTCATGAGTAGGCATAGCCTAAGTTGTGGCAAGGTGCACCCGCTGATGAGAGAGAGAGAAAGAGAGAGAGTGGGATTTAAGAAGCGTCACATGCAAGCAACGGTGGGTAACGTTAATAGCTGGAAGGTTGTAAATGATCACCAAGTGTCTATGCAGAAACCAGGACTGTTGCCATCCAAACTGGATACGCAATATTCAGTTTACAGACTTGCAACGCAATCCACCACCCCGGCACCTATGCATGGGGTAGTGATTTACAAGATGATCATACTGCATGTAAGCAAACAGTTTACTGACTGCTGCTGTCCACACTGTACAATCAACACGAACAGTGCCTGCCTGCACGCTTTAAAACACCAGAGAACAGAAAACTTACGCTCATCGCAAACTTGAGATTTCACGCACTGCAGAAGGCAAAGAAAGCAATGACACGAACATAATCAGTCGATCAAGACACATATAAACAACCCAAATCCAGGACCTTGGAAAATGCAATACAGGGTATACAGGGAATACAGGGTATGATCGATGCATAGCATACACTGCACGACCAGCAAAAGAAACGGCTGAGTAGCACGGCTGAGTAGCATGGCTGAGTAGCATGGCTGAGTAGCATGGCTGAGTAGCACGGCTGAGTAGCACGGCTGAGAAGAATGCCCATGGTAGGGGAACACTGGCATCACTGTTTGCTAGCTTCCAGTATACAACTCGTACTTACCAGCCAGTCGTTACCATCACAGAAGTAGAGTTTTCGTAGGAATGGATCAAACTTGACTTTGCCATTGTTACCGGCGGCACAGCTGTCGGTTTCAGTGATTCTGACCTGCGAGAATGCAGACAATGCACACAACGACAAGAAAACGTGATACTGTAAGACATGTTATTATAACGAGTCGCAAATTTAACGATTGTCCAAAATCCATAGGTTAACGAGAAGATATGTTAACGATCTTGCAGTATTCTGCCATATCCACACACAGCATATATGAAGCAGTACGGCCTCAACGGATCTTATTATAACGAAGAAATGTCATCCGTTAAAACGTTAGATTTGCTTCCTCGTTATATATACATGTCTTACAGTATTGAGTGAGCACCGAGTGTTGAAAAGCAATGAGCTAGAAAGCACTGTAAACAACTAACGTGTGTATCTACTCAATTGCATGACTTCAGCGCACGTGTGTCACTCCAGAATCAGCCCGGTGAACTGATCAGTGCGATACAGGCATGGTTTGAGCCTCATCACTATGGCCATGGAGTACTGTTGCACATACTGTACCTTCTCGATGTAAGGACCTTGCTCGCCCTTGGCACCTTCGGCTCCATCCAGACCAACTGGACCCATATCTCCGGTCATGCCTTTGTCGCCCTGCATAATGAACAATTCAAAAGAACACCATACGTCTTAACACAAGCAGCTGCATGCTAAAACGCACACAAGGCGCAACCAGTTTGGGGAATAGGAGAGTTTGTCAAGTACGAAACGCACGCAAGCACAAGTAAAGCCTTCTAAAATGCTGTACAACTGAGCGAAAGACACAACGTCATTGTCACAACAGAGACCCTAAAGCAGCATGACAGGAACGCCAGGCTCGGTCACAGCGCGTTGAGCTATGCAGAGAAGTTTTGTGGTGCAAGTAAGGTTCAGTTTAATGAAACCTGCAACAATATGCAGCTTGTACATGCTATGGGCAGAGATTTCATACTTACATCGCCGCCCTGAGGACCAACATCACCACGTGCACCCTTGGCACCTTGTTCGCCGACGAGACCGGTTGCACCAGTTGAGCCCTTGAAGCCCTGGAGAATGAAACAAGAGAGGAGAAACGTGGAAAAGTTGAAGAACTTGCTGAGAACACCTGAACAGGATGTGACCAGATCATTTCTCTAGGCTATATTGCAATTAGGATATCATTCACTCACACATCAGGGACAAAGCAAACTACCCGTGTGTGTGTGTGTGTGTGTGTGTGTGACTATCGAGGATCAGACCGCACAAAATACATGTAAAACGAATCCTCACCTTTGGACCAGCGTAACCTTGAGGACCGCGTTCTCCAGTGCTACCCTTCGATCCACGCTCACCACGGTCACCGCGAATGCCAGCCTCGCCCTTCACTCCCGGAGCTCCAGGAACACCGGCATCACCAGCTGCTCCCTGTATATTTGTATCGGCCCAGGAGAAAACATAAGGACAGCAAGCATAATAAAACTCCATGGCGTCTTACTGGAAAGGTCAGAATGATGGACAGTATTCAGTAGCCAATCTGGATTGTAAATGTAGTGGTCATGATCTACTGGAAAGTTGCTGTGTGTTCCATTCTAAACAAATGCGGTGCATTGGAACAAAAGAAGCCCTCTAGGGGAAGAAATCAAAACACACAAGTTGCTAGAAGAGGTGAATATGATCTCTGACTCACAGCTCCTCCTTTTGCTCCAGGAATACCGACCACACCAATAGCACCTTCAGCTCCACGAGGACCCTGCATGAACAAATACAAGAAACCAGTGGCCGGATAAGAGATGACAGTGGGTAACTCGCCTACAACAGTACTACATATCTGCATACATTTTGTTAAGTACACACATTGTTCTCAGCATGGGTGTATTACACCTAGAGAAGTACACCATACTGAAGTGTGTTTGGATAAGATGTCATGCTCTCCATGGGGTGCGTCTTATCAGACTTACACCACCACTGCTTCCAGGCCGCATGTGAATGGCAAGGCCCAAGACACTCCGGCTCAAAAATTCACAATGCATGGGCGATAGGACTTCTAACTCCCCACCACACATGCGGTCTTCAACTGACCTCATTCAGGACACAAGCAACATGACTCCTAACCATGCTGAACAATGTGGAGGCTAATATCTCCCCCGCGGAAACTCCTAGATATTCATAATGTGCCGGTCAGTATGCATTGCAGGCAAACTGATGTACTTACACGGGGACCATCAGGACCAGGAATACCAGATTCACCAGGTGAGCCAGGCAGACCCTGCGGCAACACAAAGTGAACACAAATTCAACCATTAGAATGACTGACAATGATGATAATCTGCTTCGGCACTCGGGCCTTTCAGTAACAAAGCTCTTCCTTTACAAGATAAGAACCAGCAAACATACACTGTTTGTCATGCCATTGCTAAGCAGTTCGTCAAAATATGGATACAACGGGACCGTTTGCCCAGGAGCCGTGAAAGTGCAAAAAGACAAACCAGAATGCTTGCTAGCTTAAAAATCTGATTAAGAAATGATGCAAAGAGCAGAGCCGGGAATGGACATGTGAAAACAGTACCAATGACTGGCTTTCACTCAGCATGACTTACTCGAGGTCCAGACATTCCGTCTTGTCCCATAGGTCCAGCTGGGCCAGGAGGACCCTGCACAAACAAATCAAATCACCACACAACAGACAATCACGTGTGACCACCAGCACCAAGTGAACAATACCAGCAGCTATCAAGAGTACACAGCACTGTGACACAGACCTTGACTAACACTGCCAGTGGAAACTGAATCACTCAGCCAAATGCACAAAACATGTTAGCAAGAACTGTTACAGCACACAAAGCAGGACAGACTTCACGGGCTTCCACAGTCTGTAAGATCACTGCCACAGCTAGCTAGTAAAGAGTATCTTGAGCCATACACTCCGCTTACCTGTGCACCGTTCATGCCGTCTTTGCCAGGAACACCGGGAGGACCCTGCAAGGCAATGGAGACGATCAGAACACGTCAGATCAGAGAAATACGAGATGGTTGCCGCGTCACAAAGATAAGAACGGAACCTGGCATGCTGAAAGCTCAGTGAATCATGCGTGTGTGTGTGTGGGGGCGTGCTATGATAGACAAAGACAGCACCACATTATGATGATAAGTTTGAGGGATAGAGATCACTTACGACTTTGCCTTCTGGACCGCGGCCACCCTTCACTGCTTGGACTCTGTAATTCTCTTTCTGTGGACCAAAACGCAAAGAGTGGCAAGATACGAAAACATAATTATTATGGCACGCACGCTTCACATACTGCACAGATATCATAGATGAACAGAGGGCACACGCATACAAACACACACACACACACACACACACACACACACACGCGCGCGCGCGCGCGCGCGCGCATGCACATTCAATCTGTTGTGACTACCGTGGCAAACCTGCAGCTAAGCTTGTAATACTTCTGTGATGCTGAAAAAGGATGCCTCTGCTCTAAACTTACCCATCCGGCCCATGTTGACCAGCCGTCGTATCCAGGTACACCGGGCATACCAGGAGAACCACGCGGACCCTGCAACAGAAACCCAGACGAAAGTGCTTGTTTAGAACTCAAAAAGAGGTAAGCATATTAGAGCAACCAATCACTGCTAATCATTGACATCGTGTGTGATATCACCCAAATTAACGGGAACGTGGATAGAGCTGTGCACGAGAAATACAAAACCATATACTTACAGGTCTTCCAACTCTGCCGTCAGGTCCCTCGGGTCCCTATAGCATACACACACACACACACACACACACACACACACACGAATGCACATGTTTCTATGAATAGCCACACATAACATCGCCGGAGAGTCAGACTCATGCAGCTTGATTTCATCGCCAGGAAGAGAAGGACACGGCCCATTATCCTCAGCAGTAATTCCGAAATAATAGACACCCTTAGCAAACAACGGTAACGCTATTTTTTACGGTACTCGTACCTTGATCACCCAAATAGCGTTGAAGCTGCAGCGTAAAAACGTTATGGGGGCTGATTTATCGTTGCGACCAACGGTACGTGTTTTGGCCAAATATTGCATAGTCCGTACGCATTTCACCTTGTATCGCGTATATGGTGACAAAAATGGTTGTACCGCGTGAAATCAAAGCTATTCTCGTGGCAACAGCGTACTAAAAATAGCGTGCATCTTGCTAAAGGTCGAACCCAAATCACGGTATTTTCCCCCTTACGATAATACCGTTACAACATAACGTTTTTTGCTAAGGGTGTCTATTGAAGGCAAAATGAACCCAATTTCCCCGCAGCAAAGAAGTCCGTTCTGCATGGATCATCTATAAAGGAACTTGCCGGTTTCCTCAATAGAAAGATGTCTGGCTGTTATGGGTAGCTTGATGGTCCGCACAATTCATTCTTGTTGTTGGGCGACTTTCTGCCATGAATTTTCAGTTCACCTGGCTCTCTATAGCATGAATGGATGTGTGAGTGCTTCAACCATCATTCTGTAGTCCCATATTAAATGGAGATCAGAACATCAGCCTCAGCCATTCAACTACCTGTCCCTTGGTTATATAGACCTCACAAAACTTTGGCAGATAATGGCGGCAGAAGAGTCCAGTAGAACTTGGTACGTTTTCTGGGATGTTTCATGTATGTTTCGTATATGGATAAGGAAGAGGAGTGGAATAAACGCATTGTCCGCTGTATACTTTGTAAAATTCTGCCGATTCTAATCAATCGTGGCTTGTCAAGCAGAAAGTACCCATTTTTCAAGCACTGTACAGCAAGGATTACCATACAATGTAATGGTCTTAGCTGGCAGTAGGTCATGAAGGATTACTGGACGGGCCCGGAAAAGTGCATAGCATCACTCACCGTCTCTCCCTTGCAGCCTGTCGGACATGCGGGCTGATCTGCCGGGTCAATGATAACATGGCCAATATTTGTGCCACTAGGCTGCGGCTGCGTTACATTCCCTGTACAAATGTATACACACAGTGTAACCGTGACAACAAAAAGTCAAAAACCAGTCAAACTCTCCTTTGTGCAAAATGGCAAAGAAATAGGACTAAAATCATAGTAAAATGCCACGCACAATGTGCACACACACACACACACACACACACACACACACACACACACACAATTCAATACTAACTGAACTGGCACCATAGTCTCGCAGCATTCAGAACCTGCAACACAATGTCATGCTGGTTCACCAGTGTCAGAACCTACAACACAATGTCCTGCAGCCACTATCCCACTATGTTACCAGTGTGGGAAACTGCTATGACTAGTATGAGCATGTGCATGGTTGTAAAAATTGTACAGACATAGTACAGTGTGTTGCAGGTTGAGCTGGTTAGTTTACTCATGCACTAGATACTAGATCAGGGAGACCAGAAGACTGTATAAGATGTATTGGGAGAGTGTGCCCCATGCGACCTGGTCACCATTGACACTATGTACTAACCTGTTGCTGATACCAGTGAGCAGAGTGCTAGCGTTGCCAGGACGCATACGGGCCATGATGGCCTGTACAACACACCAGAGAACATAGCCACCACCAAGAGGCAAGAATGTCAAGTCCACTTCGACTTCTTCCTCACACTGAGCTCATGCTATGTTCAATGCTTGAACTTACGCCATTATTTAGGTCCCTCTCCCTACACCGGTTTTGCTTTGGTCGGATTATTGATTGGAGAACTTGGATGGTCAAAGGCAAGACCTCAGCAATTCAGTTGCTTGCGGACTGCAACCAAAACAGCTCTAGTCAAAAAGTACTCTTCACCTTCCTTCAGTCCAACTGGAATTGGAGGCGATCTTTCGTTGTGGGTCCAAGTGAGGACAACTGAGCTGTTGCTAGTCCGGCCAGCCTGAATATCGCCGTAACTGCCATCTTTCCTGATGTGCTCAGCGGACACTTGCACACCCGGCCAGTGTAGTTCATGGTAGTTTGTGGAATAGTGGGAGCTAGACCGTGCGCTGGTGACAGGTCTAACCAGCCGGCTGTCACTGGGCAGCGACAAGAAAAGAACCGCCGCCTGCACTGCACGTCAGATTCGCTCGCCTACTGACATACTTGCGTCGCGGTCTAGCCAGTCACCATGCATGCTCACGCCCAAGGCGAATGACTTCTTCAACAACTTCTCGGCCTTGAAGTATGGGAGCAGTAGGAGAATCTCCCCCAGAGGACTTGACATATCCGACGCCGCTGGCCCACCGATTTGCAGGTAAAGGATAGATCCTGTCAAAGCGCGGTCAGCGCTCGCATGACCTTGTGTTGGAGTAAAGACACCAAGCATTTTCACGGTGTGCTGCATCTGTGTGGAGCACAGGACTGAGGGTGATAACGATGAATTCCCCCAGGCATCCCTCTCACCGCGGCACGGACCTTCGTTTCACAGTATCTTGTTATGTCTGAAAACTCAATCTACATTGTACAGTATTGTACTGCATTGTAGCGTCCCGCTCGACTGGCGAGAACAACCTAGACTAGGAATGATGCTCTCCTTCACTTCAGAACTCATTTCAAGTCGGGTTCGTATTTTACCTAGGCTACCTCCTGCTGCCACGCTGTCTAGCCGAGTGTTTTTAGGCTCTTTCGGCTTTCTCTGAGTCTCCTCCAACAACAAGAAAAACCAAAATCGTTCGGTGGCGACGGAAGCTTCGAAGTATCGGAGGTAGATCTATCGCGCGCGCTCGTTCCCTGTGGACCTCGAGCCTAGTCTAAACATTGGCTCATAATAATTACAGTGAAACCTGTCTAAGACGACCGTTCGAGGGACCTTCAAAACGTGGTCTCTGTTACCAGGTGGTCTCCTTCTCCAGGGACTGGAGATACTGTAGCATCCTTCGGTGCTGGTTGCAGTGGTCCTCTAGGACAGGTGGTCGCCTTATCCGAGTGGTCGCCTTATCCGAGTGGTCGCCTTGACAGGTTTTACTGTACAACGATGCCACACACGAAGTACTTTTTTAAGTGTCACCATGTTTGCCTGCATTATTATGCATGGCATGCGGGAGTTGTGAAGAACCTACGAGTACGACTCAGCAGTCTACCAGTAATATTATTATTATTGGCAATAACCATGTCCATGGTCTACACCAGGGAGTTGTGAAAGCAAGGTCAAGGCAAGGGTTTTCACAACTATGTAGTACTACGAGTCGCTCTCGTAGTATTGTAGTAGAGTAGAGGTCTAGTAGCTAAATATTTACTTCCATGCTAAAGACTGATGAGTGATGACGTAGCGCAGACCTGGGGAGTTGTGAAAACCCTTGGTGTTGCGTTTACAACCTGGGAGCAAATATTGAATGTAAACCAGGGAGTAGTACTACTCCTCCCTGATGTAAACCACCACGAAGTCAGTACTTACTGGTATAGGAAATAGACCAGAAGATAAGACACCCGTGCCCCAGTATAAATACTAGTATTTTTTAGTGTTTGGTCCTACGTGATAATATTGGAACTCTATATCATTAATTGGAGTGCCGCGAGCGAGAGTGAGTTGGTTTGTCCTCTTCTTCACATCCTAGCAAATCCAGTCAGTATTAGGCCGTGCTTCTTTCTTTCAGAAAGGCTTTGCAGGTGAATCAAAGCAGACATCCCACTCAATACCATAGCGCTCGGAGAGTAAATTGCTGGTATTTGGTGCTCATGATCCTTGAAAACACGCTGAAACACAACTTACTGCGCCCATTTGAAAATTTTCAAAATCATCAATTTGCTTACAATACACCCAATCCCAATAAGTGTGCTGAACAATGATCACGTGGTGCTATTTTGTCGGGAAGCACCCGGGTGGACTTCAAGCCTTCATCAGGGGTTCTCAACACTATTGTAAACGTGTACAGACTCAGTACCATGAATGAAGACTCGGAATGATTACGTTAACAACAATTTTATTCTGATTTCAATCGAAGTTGATAATATGTTGCAGTGCACAGAGTACCTACAAGTTACCACTGTACACACTTTTCAAAGAGATTGGATGGATTTCATGTGGAATTGAGTGTCATAATAGTCTACAGAACTTTCAACCAGGAGTGCAGGAGCACCAGTTTGAAATCTGAGAAATATTGCTTGTCAGAACTCAGACAATGACTTGGTGCTTTCCTAATGAGCAAAGCTAATAGAGAAAATATTGCAATCACATGTGACAGTATCACACATGACCACACTAGGAAACTGTCCATTGTTCCAAAGCCATGAAGTGGTAAATTGTACATGCCATGATCTGCATATAGCACATGTACAGTACTTGTAATGTGGCATTTCACCGGCCCGGCATGCTCACAGCCAAACCAATATTAGCCATACTGTCAAGCAGTCACGGAAGCAGATGCACATGGAGTGTGATTTCCCCAGCACCATACAAGGCAGAACGGATCACCCAGCAGCCAAGGTCGAGAAGCCAAGCAGCCGAGCAGGGCATGTCAGGCTGCATGTCAAAGAGATGCACTGTGTACGCAAACACAGACTCAAGTCAATACGCATCTGTCAACAACCACTATTTGCTACTCGGCATCTTCATCATCGCCACCAGCGGCCGGATCAAACTCGGCAAACCGAGACCTTACTTTCTGAACCAGTGCTGATTCCTCATCAGTGCTTAGCTGAACATCTTTCCAGTGTACACGCCGTGGAAGATCCAACAGGTCTGGAGATGCAAGAATCTCTCTGTAAAAAAGTAAAACAACAGGAACACGGTGAAAGAAAAGTGATCGCATTAGAATCGAAATCCACCACTATGATACCAAACGTTCAAAACAATTATTGTGAAGTATAAACTTGAAATTGGAGAATACTGTATTTTACTGGTTATGAGTCGACCTTTTAATGGCCTAAAACCCGACCTAGAAAGGGGCAGTCGACTTACAACCGGGGTATATTATCATTATTTTGCTTGTTCGCGTTGACATCACGAAGCAAGCTTGGCTAGTCTTCGCATAAGCCAAATGAACTAAAGAAATGAGGAACGAACGAGGCCAATGAGGTGAACACACGCGTGTAACGGCAGAATAGGCAAAATGAATAAATAGACCATCCTAAAAACACACGACATGTCAACTTCAACAATAAAGCTGGAAACGGATGAATACAGCTATCATAACAGCTGACAGCACAGCGTGGCAAAGCGACATAACACGAGAGTATACATGAGAGTACAATTCTGCTTATAGACTACAGCCGAGAACCAAGTAGTCGAAAGCTACACAATATGGGTACCGGTAAACCATTCTCACATGTACGGATGCAAAAGGTTTGAACGTTCAGGAAAAAGACATTACTTGCATGACACATTGGCAGGACTGGACGAACAAGGCAAACTCCAACATTGTGGGGTATAACCGCCCTTAAACCGGTAAATTGAGGCCCCAAGTTTTGAGGTTGACTTATAACCGGGGTCGACTTACAACCGGTAAAATACGGTACGTTAGTAAAGTGACCAAGGAAGCAAACAGGTAGGCTTCCTAGCATACAGTTTAGCTACCACATGGATCGTGTGGAAATGAAGCATGACATGGGCTTGTTGACACAATACAAGACAAAAGAGAGGAATTTGTGAAACACTGCCAAAAAAGAGACTATACTGAAGTAGATTCAGAAGAAAATTAATGAAGTGTTAACTTATTTCGACAAGTGCATCAACAGGGCAGCAAAAGCCACACCGTCCAGAGTCCAATAGCCCTTGTGCAAATCGACGTCACGTACAAAATCCAGTAGAACCCCGTAGACCCGGTTGGGTGTTGAATGTACAGGACCCTATTGTGTTATCTGTATTATCGAATGCGAAACGTTCCCTTCAGGCATTTCATGCAACAACTTTTTTCGGACGAAAATCTAGCTAGTCATTAGTTCTGTCCAAACTGATGAATCTGGAAAAGCGACGATCTGCTGCTAAGTAATGCGCTAAATTGGACAAACGCGCATGTATAGCACACAATGAGCACCCAACCGTGCATGTACACATCTTGGGAATTCTCTGTACAAGATGATGTAATGTGCATAAGGACTATAGAGAAAAGAAGAAGAAATAGGACTTAGTACTCACCTTGCAAACTGCAGTGGGAAATTGTAGTTAGGCTTAATGAAATGGAAGAGGCGCTGGCCATCAGCAAACTCCACGACAAAGAAATTCGGGTGTTTGTCAACAAGCTGCCAAACAGAAGACAGTAGTAGCATGATCGTGTACCAGTATTAAAGCCAGAAGAAATCATTCAAATCAATCGACTTTACACATGCTGTAGCTATTGTAAGAAGAAAACTCCAAGTTTGGCCATGTCCACGACAGTAGCTTGAGTGGAGTCAGATGCCCTACGCAAAGCCGGCACCTCATAAATTTGTTCTAGAGAGGAAGCAGCCGATCTGCTTGAGTGCTTGTGGAACAGTGCAGTTCTCCGTGATAGAGATCAAGTAATGGACACACAGACACACATGCACGCGCACACACACACGCACACACACACACACACACACACACACACACATGCACACACACACACACACACACACACACACACACACACACATGCACACACATACACCCGGTACATACGGTACACATCCACTGACCTGATCAAGTTGCTCATCGCTTGTAATGTTCATGAGGGTAATACCACGGTCTGTACCATGCGACTGGAAGATACGCTTCACTGCTTCTGGGCTGTGATGAATCGGCACTGCCTTTGAGGAAACAGAAAAAAAGTATGGGCATTGGAAACAATTACTTCATGAAGCCCAACGGTTCCAGATAGGTGAGCAATTCACCATGCACACACAATACTATACTCAGATACACACAACACAATAGACCCGATAGCCGCACCAAAGCAATAGACTCGTATCAACAAGAAGCCCCAACAAAGCTAGCCTTACTTGGAGCTGCATATGGCGAGATCTGAAGTTTCGCTCGAAGAAGACACACGACTGCTTCTTGGACTCGCAGTATGCCACAATAGCTTTCTTGTACGTGCGAGAGAGAACCCAGCGGTCAAGGCTAACACCATCAACAACACGTGAACAGCTCATGCACACCTCAAAATATCCTAAGCATATAGTACACAATACATGTACAGGAATACAGTAATAGCTCGCCATGTAACACAACACCAAATATAGGACATGTTATACTGTGGCCTGTTCATGCGGACCTCTTCAGTAAGCAGCTTCAGAGTCTATATACATGTACATGTTGCATTGCCTGTTAGTAGGCTGTACAGGAAGACCTATTTGTCAACTAACGAAATGTGTAGCTAAAGTTAGTTAGCTCTGGATACCTAATGAAAGTGATGAAAACACAATCTTACTGAATACTTCTTTGGCAACACGCTACCACCTACTACAGACGGCGCAGTGCTACTCAATGAAATCCAAGCGCATGAGTCACATTGGTGCCCTGCACCAGGACACATCCCAGTACTAACAGGTTAAGGGCTGCACAGTGCCCGGCGAGTACTAGTACAGTAGCACTTGACTCAGTTGATCGGATTTCATCAAGCAGGACTGTAGTGCATACACTGTACGTCATACGCGCACACTTCAGAAAGCACTGCAATGATTGACAAACAAAATGTCTCCCTAGCTCAAAGAACGCTATCCGTAGTCACAGTTTCAAGCACGGTAGGATATGCCTCCAGTTCCGTATGCACAACCTGAGCAAGGAATGAAACACAAACAAACACAAGGACATCGGAAGTCAATTCAGGATGGTGCGGTCAGCCATTACTGTATGTACGTGTCACTTAGGAGAAATCTTGGCCTTTAACAATTAAACAAAATTTAGAGCCAATAACCATAGCAACCATAGCACTTCATTCAAAAATGGGTGCTAACTACAGTAAAACCTGGTTTAGGCGACCACCCCACGGTGCAAGCAAAAGCGGTCGTTTTAAAGCCAGGTGGTCTCTAGAACCAGGTCCCATACATTGGTGGCATATCGCATCTTGCAATAATCATTACTGCTTTCCATGTGCTCAAACGGACAGGTGTGGAGCATAGAACACATTCGTGCAGGAGCACCCATGAGTTTCACACCTCATGTAAGCGTACCCTGTACTGTCACTTGTCACTTCTGTGTGACTGCATGTCCAACTTCTGAGCCCACTTCAACCCTGTTACAGTGAATCAAAACCAATCACTGCCACACTACCACACTGCCACACTGCCACACTGCAACACACACACACACACACACACACACACACACACACACACACAAGCACGCACAACACTCTTCCCCCCCCCCACCACCACCACATCAACTAATCCTGCCTCTGCCTGGCTTACCGGCGGAAGACTGACACTGTCAGCATGATGGCCAATAGGAAGGACGAGCAAGTGATCATCAACTAGAGGGCCCTTTGCCAGTGCAACATACACCTGCATAACATAGCATAGAAATCAGAACAAATGTTGCATCTGTGAGGCAAGTTATGTTTGCAACAAGAAATACGTCCACTTTAGAAACTGAGACCAGTTTGCACCGCTAGATTCTTGCACAGCTCAGAAAAGTACTACTTGAAGGTAGCGAATCTCAAAGTTTGCAATGCGGTACCTCTTCCACAAACCACAAACAGCTACACATCGCAAACATACCCATCTTCTGAGATCAGAGTTAAAAGTAAATCATAGAGCTGCGATTACGATCACATCACACAGCGAAGCTTTCCTGTTTCGTGGGGCAGCTTTGTGTTTCTACTTGCAGTCATCAGTATCTGAAGCTAGAGGAGACAGGCACATCCTATCCACTAAATCATGGCAACATCTCACACAGAAAGCAGTACCTGTTCACCAACGGTAACGATGAGATGCTTCTCCACCTTTGAACTACCAAGACAAAACCAGCAGTCATCGCTTCCTGCAGTGGCCAACACAGTCAGCAGCAAAACCAATAGTCATGACTGGACTATAATGGACAATGTACAGTAGAGAGAGATAGAGAGAGAGAGGGGGGGGGGGGTGGAGGGTCTCTCTCTCTCTCTCCTCTCCTCTCTCTCTCTCTCTCTCTCTCTCTCTCTCTCTCTCTCTCTCTCTCTCTCTCTCTCTCTCTCTCTCTCTCTCTCTCTCTCTCTCTCTCTCTCTCTCTCTCTCTCTCTCTCTCTCTCTCTCTCTCTCTCTCTCTCTCTCTCTCTCTCTCTCTCTCTCTCTCTCTCTCTCTCTCTCTCTCTCTCTCTCTCTCTCTCTCTCTCTCTCTCTCTCTCTCTCTCTCTCTCTCTCTCTCTCTCTCTCTCTCTCTCTCTCTCTCTCTCTCTCTCTCTCTCTCTCTCTCTCTCTCTCTCTCTCTCTCTCTCTCTCTCTCTCTCTCTCTCTCTCTCTCTCTCTCTCTCTCTCTCTCTCTCTCTCTCTCTGTCCGTCCGTCCGTCTGTCTCTCTCTTTGCTACGTGGAAAACTCTACTGTATAAGGGCATTGAGCAATCTTCGAGCATTGGAGCACCCAAATTTCTTACATTACAAAACAGAATGTCACCCCGAGAGACTGTGGAATAATACAAGCACACTAACACACATAATGGTGCATGTCTCTATGCGTGTATCTAGAGCATGCCGCCCGTAACTGAGAAGAGACATGAAAGATATCGCAGTGCAGTGGTCAGCGTGTCCAAAGACAAGCTAGAGGAGCCACTCACCACATATCTACCCATTTCGGTAGCTGCATCCGCCCGTAACTGAGAAGAGACATGAAAGATATCGCAGTGCAGTGGTCAGCGTGTCCAAAGACAAGCTAGAGGAGCCACTCACCACATATCTACCCATTTCGGTAGCTGCATCATCATAATATATTGCAAGCTAGAAAGAGAAATGCAAAGTAGAAGAGTGCAGCTGCCTCAAATAGATGTGTCTGCAGTGTGCCGCCTTTGCCGTCGTCATCATCGGAGAGTGAGGAGGAGAAGAGTAACATCCAGCGCTAGCTCCTATTACAATTACAGCAAGGGCGCACTTACGGTTTTCAAACGGCCGCTTGGAAGGAGGCCCTCCATGTTGGGAATATTCACGCTGCCTTCCTGAAATCGCACATGTATATAACACAAAGTCTCAAGTTAGTACACAGACTTCAAGGTAAATGAACAGAAAAAGATATTTGTGACCACAGAACAGTGAATGAATGAAGTGCTGAAATATATCTACACTCCGCACCCACACAGGTGATGTAATAGTTAAAGATGGGCTGACAAGGCTACAGTAGAGGCCACTCAGGATGCAATAGCCTGTGCTTTGTGTTCTCATCCAGCACTCTCCAGGAACCCTACTGGACATGTACAGTACAGTGAAGAACACTGACAAGACACAATTCTGCTTTAGAAGAACTAGTATACATAACTCTTTTGGATGGATTCCTGTGTATTCACTGGGTTATAAAATATGGATACGAAGAACTCCCATTATCATGACAAAATATCGTCAGTCCCATGATGTTCGTCCTAAAGAGGTTTCACAGTACTTGCCTCCACGACCACCCGCATGACCATGTTCGCCACCACCAGCAGCACCGCCACCACCACGACCCTGGCCGCCATGTCCTCCACGCTGACCCCCACCACCACGACCGCCACGACCACCGCGACCACCTCTACCACCACGCTGCGATGCATTCATGTCGAAGAAGAACTGCTGTGGGGCTGCCTCGGCCTCGGCCTTTTTCTACACAAGCAAATATCAACAGAGGCTACAATCAAAGCTAAACACAAGAAAGACAAACAACTGAGCATTTCCTCATCAGAAAAAATGATCTTCCTCTGCAGCTATTATTAAACTGCACTGAAATATCACTGATATACTGTAAAACCGGAAAGTTTAACGACCAAAAAGTTTAACGTTTTTGTAATTTTGGCATGATAACGTGCAGAAAGTTTAACGATGGCTACCTGGTCACCCATCTGTGTGCGCAACTTTACACAGACACCTCAAGCTGGGTTCGCGATAACATTTCTTCAAATAACGAAAAAATTGGTCGTTAAAACGTTAGATTTTTCAGTTTTACAGTATCAGTCATCATATCACCCAAAATGGTCAACAGACAGGCATAACATTCCATATTGCCAGTCAACTTCAGTCCCTGGTGCAGCAGTAACCTTGGCGGTCTTTGGAGACAGTCCGTACGTGCTGCAGACACTTACCGTGTCAGCCACATCCTGCTTAGGACGGGCTTCACTCAACGGGGATTCAGTGGAAACGTCCGGTTGCCGCATCAGCTCTGCCTTCTCCATGCTCGACATGGGCGTCATCTGGAATGCGTAGATCCACTGCAGACAACATGCAAACACAGTGTACACGTCCAAGTGCGGGAGAAGAGAAAAGGACACATGCAGGGCAATGCTTGCTGATACAAGGTCTGCTCGTGTCACAAATGGACAATACTTGCAGGTGTAATGCCGATTTTAGAGATGACCGAAGCAAATTCGAAAACTACCTGTGTTAACCTGTGAGAAAAACTCCCAAGAATACAATGGAAAACCTGTGACTTGTGTAGTTAACCTGCTTAATTCAACGGACCTCGGAGAACTACTACTCAATTCTCACTCAGGTAAAGCTAGCAGACCTCACTGACACCCCAGTCCGATACTGGGAGCATGCCAATTGACCTGCCTGCGGGAATAATCACTGCTTGCAGTACAGGGGACAGGAGTTCAGTGCAGAGAAGAGCGCAGGAGGTGTAGGTGGAGCACACGGGGATAGCCAGCCCCGAAATGCAGTGGTGGCTAAAGACTTCACAAAAGAGCACTTGATCAAACAGTATCTCCATCATATTTACATTCAGTAAGATGTTACACTCCCACCACCATTGCATGCGCTCTCTGAAATCTGAAAGCTGCTGTTTACCTGTCTTCGTTTGCCATTTTTATTGAACACATGAGTGAAAATGCACAGACCTACAAAACAAGCATAACTACTTACGCGATTCTTTTTGTCTGGGTTGCCGACATTAGCAATGCTGAGGAACCGGGTGACATGACGAGAATTCTCCAACAGGATTTGGTGATTCCTAAGAGCAGTGAACACAGTTGCCCAAGCATCACCATAACCACAGAAGTCGGCAAAACAATCCAAAGTTCCCAGGATGGGGTAAAATCGGAGAGAAAAGGGTGTGCTTTTCACTGTAATTTTGAAGGCAAACGTTGGATCACGAAACCAGATGCCGAAGCCAAATTATGCACCTGTAAATGTCCACACATGCTTCAGCGGGTGGGAACATAGAGTAGTTATCATCTCTGAGACTAGACACATAGGATCAATTGCACAAATACAGGAGATGGGAGGCTGTGTTTGCTGTAGCTGTAAGCAAGCACTGGGTGATCATCAGACAGCACTGAACACTAGAACTAACAATAGTATAGAAAAATAAAATTGATCAGAGTGGACCTATCAGTATGTGCCGGTAGCTAGTGTGTGAGTCATCATGCATGTGTGAATGTGATGTAAGTGCCATTAGGCTGGGCCAAGGAAGAAACACCCACATCCACCAACCAGTGCGAACAGTGTAGTAGGGTAGGATGTTTGTACTATTCGTCTGTATTCGGTGTGAAAAGCAGCTGAAGATGCGTTCTACACGGAAAAATGGATGGCAAGTGGGGATCAACAACACTGTCACTGAACTACCAGTACATGACTGTACAACCGGTAAGATGCAGCCGCATTTGCAGATCAAGGTCACAAAGCCTGGCCACACTTGGTCAAAGAGACTAGCCTCACCTGTACGGTGCTCTCTCATAGAAGACATCACGACCGGCAGCAAAATGATAGCGAGGCTGCAGCACGCGAGCCACGTGCGCAACGGACGCCGAGCCTTGCGTAGCCACTGGCTGTGAGCAACAGAGAACACAACACATCGAATAGCGCTAAACACCTGTCCTATACAGGTATATTGAAAAAAGGGGAATCATACGTAGCAGAACATTGCGTACAAGCTGCAGCACGGCGAACAGCAGAGCAACACTAACCGGGGGTGTCGGAGCAAACTGGTGAATATTCTGTGCCCACTCCGTCGTCATCAGGATATCAACACCAGCAAAGTCATCTGATTGAGCACTGGCTGCCAGAGAGTCCACATCAGCTTTGCTGTAAACGTGTGTCGCACTGCCAGCCTGCAAGAAAGAAAAGGGGATTATACAACGGTGTGAGCAGGGAGACACAGCAATCCAAACTCAAAAGAATGAACCGCGACAATGGGCATGTATCCAGTCCCAGATATTATTCATAATGCTAGCAGAAATGAGTACCACCGCACAACAAGTAGATCAGCAAAAGCATAGAAGAGCAGTCCGTGGCTCACCTGAGATGCGCCTGCTTCAACACCGCTCAAAAAGGCAATAGTAAGACCTTCCGAGGTAGAGTACACACCCTGACGACCTGCAGTGCAGACATGGATAAGCGGAAGCAGAAGGGGAACAGGATGAATGCATGCCATTCTATCACACTCAAACACCAAAAGACAGTCAGACGTGTAAAATGCCCACCTATCTCTGGAGACTGCTAATCTCAGGCGTACATCTAACAGTACCCATGTTGAAAGACAACTAACCAAAACAAGCAACTTGAGCAATGCCATGTTGAACCAGTATATTTTAAAAGGTAAGTTGTGTACGTCGATCAAGAACTAACGTAATGGCAATAGCAATATGGTATGATGTGATGCCCTAAATTTGCACAGCACTGATATGGGAAGATGCGTCACAATAGTTTGAAGAAGCAGCCAGATGTACAAAAGTGCAGTGCTGCTCAATGAGGCCCAGACACATGACTCAGTTAGTGCCAGACGTTGTGCAGGCATAGCCCTGCAAGCACTGAGCTGTGCATTGGTGCAGGGCGCCGACTACTTATCCATGAACCCCCAGCTGCATTGAGTACACTGATGCAACATTACTGAAGAGTGAGGACAATCCCTTTGCAGCTCAGAATTTCAGCACAGAACGCGCATCCATGCACGCTTACCCAGATACGTGAGGTCAGGCAGCAAGTCACCGCCTTGATTGGCATTGGGATAGCAGACCGCTTCAGCAGGTGAATTCGGTCCTATGATGTACATGGGAATAGGCGCTAGAGCAGGAAAATACACAGGGATAACACAACGTTACTGAAAAGTATTCATCGGCGAGTCAATACGCTAATTGTCAAGTACATGTACATGAAACATGTGATTTTGAATGGCTAACAATGGACTACACTGCACAACAACAACCTGTACCTGTGGGCTTGGTGGAGCGGAAGTCATCCCACTCCTTCTTGGCATCAGGAGACGATGAGAAAAAGGAGCCAACGCACAGCACCATCTATTGCAAGACATCAGAGAAAGCGGAATCACTGCGCAATAAAAGTACCAGGGTTGTTAATTATTGTCTCGATTGTTTATTTCCAGGACTGACAAGGATAGCCACCATAACTAGTGCAATTGATTGGTTGATTTTTATATACGGACTGACCAAAGGCTGCATGAGCCTATCGAGGGACTCTTGCCCGGACACATCAGACTCACCTGAAAAGGGCCATTCTTCTTGTTCACTGTTGTCACGCGATTGAACAGCGTTGCAAATTGGCCCCGCACATCGCCACATACAAGTCTAGCCATTATACAAAACAACAGACAGAAAAATGATCAATCAGCGGTTATTCAAGTTCATATTGTGGCTTGTAACAACACCATTGGTTTAACTGCTTTTGCACCATTCACTGTCGTAACCATTGCTCTAACAGAGTGTAAACTATTGAGTATCCATGTACGTATATGTATAGACTCTGTTGTCAATTTTTTCGTCAATACCAATGTAATTTCCTGATGCGCATCAAGAGAAAGCGCCTAGAGTCCTATTGTTTTGTTTCAGTTCATTTCATTTCTAAACGCACACCGGATTTTGATCATATGTTTGCAACCTTCGTTATATCCATTGCTCTACAAAAATCATTGGCAAGATTAAGTTCTGCTGAGCATCATGAAATGCCCCGGGGTACGGACACCATCCCCATGCGCACATTCGAGCCACTGGTTTTTATAGATGTAATCATTCTAAATGTATAATAGTTTACCAATGTGAAAGGAGACCTTGCGAGAATAACTAAGGGGGTAAGGTTGTGGTGTGTGATAGACTTTTTCCTACATGTAGCACAGCTGCAGAGTGTGCCAGGCCATGGACAATACATGTATTTGCTTCGTGAGTTTAGAACTCAGATGGTGAGCCAAGGAAAAAAATTTGTAACATGGATCGCATAACTTGTGACCACACTCTTTTCCATGTTAATACAATTTGTTGAGTTAGTTCATTTTAATGATTTAATAAGCCCATCATGCAATGACGTAGTCTGTACTGCCAACACCCCACACAGCAACCTGTGCATGGTTGTGCACGGTGTAACAACAAACTGCTGATCCCAGTGTACCCACATGCATTACTCATACATTCCTGATTTGGCAATGCACAATGGGCTTATTGTGAACGGCTGCGGTATGGGCAGAATCACCTGTTACGCCTGTTCCAGTGAAGACATACCGGAACGGGCACATGCGCATGCGGCTGTGGTAATGAAGTACACATTTCACTGGTCCCATCACATTGGTGAGAACAACCAGGACTGGTATGTAATGACCAAGAGGAAGTGTGCACCGCTGCTAATGAGAGTATATGAACCAGCTCTTTCAGTTGGATATACCGTAAAGTACAGTACCGCCAGAGCGCCCCATCTTGATTTTACAGCCAGGGAAAGGAAAATCGTATAGCAGAGTGCAACGAAGTTTGTACGGTGTGAGAACCTTAGTGTACTAAGGTCACATTAAGCAGGTTCTTGTGTGGAGCTCGTGTCTGCTCGAACGTACGGATTGTCTGCAGAACATGCAATATGTGTACAAAGTTCGTGCCGTATGACCTACAGACAGGAGACTACCTCCACGATACGGCCATGAAAGGACAAGATGGTGGGGCGCTCTAGCGGCACTTTATGGTAGTTGTATTGAAATACATGTACTAGTACATTGTGCATATCTTTGCTCTGTCTGTCTCTCTGTCTGTCTCTCTGTCTGTCTGTCTGTCTCTCTAAATCTATACATTTCCAAATCTCTGCTAATATCAGGTGTAGTTTTGAAGGGCATGCCGTGTAAAACACACCATGTAAACAACTGGATAAACCTGTACTTTAGCGCCCCCCATTAGGGACTTCAGACCACGTGACTTCTTGGCCCAAAACTGGCAAAAGCGTGCAAATCGACGCCTGCACAAATCGTGTGATGGTCATATGTCAAGTCGTGTAAAGAAATGTGGAACCGTTTTTCGAAATGAAGGAAGTCTTGTACAGTTGGAGAAAGTTTCGGTTCGTCTTGTTGGAGCTTGCCTTCGTTTGGGACCAGCAAGAATGGAGCTGTTACGTTCATTTTTGACGGAGATACGTATGCGGATGGAAGGGAAAGGTGAGAAACCATATGATCCGTCCGGGTCCCCTTCTTGAAAATGTGATATTCGTATTCTACGACCTCGAATTAGTCTAGATAGAAGGTAATCTTTATTGTTTTCACCTTCCAGAAGACCTATTTCTTGCATTATTCCTCTTTGTACTTTGCCGTGCAGCGCCGCCATAGTCACAGTATGGAAAGCAGCGAGAAATATCCTGCGCTAAATGATGCTGATGTACAAATTGAATTGCTCTTGGCTGTTTCGGTCCATGCCTCGATTCTTGTCTCCAATGCTGTTATGCTCGATCTGGTTGAGCTCCGCAAGAATAGCTGAAAGAGTGCCGAACTGGGAGATGTGCTGTATACTCTTGTTGCTATTTGCTGTATCTCTGCTGATGATGATGTGCGTGCTACGATTACCCCAGCCAATACAATGTCCTGTACATGTACATGTTGAGCTTAGTCAGTGCCTCTTCCGTGACCATTCTTTTTCTTGACACCAACCACACCAACAGTCCGAAGCTATCTCAGGACTGTCTTATCAATGTCTCCTGTTACTACCCACTACATTGTAAACCATACTATTCCGCTATTTCATGCGGAGAATCAAGATTGTTTTTGGATTTGGTGTGCGGTTGCTATGCGTTGCCAAGGAAAGTGGGTTCTCTCAGTTTGACATATCTCTCTGATCTCAAATGTGTGGGACGTTTGTCGGACAAATCCGGTGATAGGCGATGACTATTTTGCTTGTAACTTTAGTTTCCTTTGTCCGATTTAGAAAAACTAAAGACCAAACTCCTCAGGAAGCTCTAACCTATCCAAAAAGCAAAACATAAGCCACAGAAAACCGATTTGAAAAAATGGTCTGAAGTCCCTACCCCCATATAATTATGGCACTAAGCACAACACTGATATACATTGTACAGTGTAGTCATTTTAGTGCTGAAATCACCTGAATACTACATTTTTTAGTACAAGACATCCGACGACCTGGGGGCGCTAAATTACAGGTTTACCAACAACTGATTGTGGGTAAGAATGGGACTACCATGCAGTACAAAGCCGGACTATCAATCTTACATTCTCATTTTGGACGATTCCCTCGAGTGATATGGTAGCAGGGACTAACAACGAAAACCTGAAGGTAGCGTTCAGAAGACTCAACAGTGGACTGTTCCAAATCTCTACACCGAACACAAAATAATTTGCAATGCTGGAAGAAGATGCTAGATATAGATGATCAAAACATACGAAAGACAACTATTCCAAATCGATGTCATGATTGAAAGCTGCAGTAAAAAAATTCAAAATTTTCATTTGTATTTTTTGCGTACATACAATCATGAAAGACGCCATGGCAACGACGTCACAGTCATGGACTACACAAAGTTTAGTCATGCTGCATGACCAGGATTTGTGCATTGACTGCCCGAGTCTTGTCCATTTTGATTTTGGAGGGCTGGAGTCTGGAAGTCTTCTTGATCATGCATGCAGCTTGTCAGTGTAGTCTACAATACTCAATAGTAGTAATTATGTTACGTATCATACTGTCTCATTTACTGCAAGCGAGGCACGTGTAAGTCCAGTATGTAAGGGGGCGGGGGAGAGAGAGCTTAGGATTTGTGAGACTGCGTCATGCATGGCTCTGCATTCGTGTATTATAATTGTGATAACCACTCCATTATGCACATGCACCCTGGGATGCTGAATCAACCGGCAACGTACAAAACTAGTCTCGTCATCGGCGGGCGTGACAGATACAATTATCAAAATGTAGCAATATATAGGTTGTGTCAATAGAAGTCATATTTGGTTGAAAGGGGGCTGGCATTTTTGACTCATCACAGTAGTTTGTTTCCAAGTTTAAGATGGCACACAGCAGAGAGAGAGAGAGAGACAGACGGACAGAGAGAGACAGAGACAGACAGAGAGACAGAGATGAATGCAGAGATGTCTTGCGACACCCCAAGGAGAAAGGCAAGGTGAGCCTAATATAGCCAGCAAGGAGGAGTCATTGAAAATACGCGGGCAGGCAAAATGTGATGTGTATCGCCAAGCCTTCATTCGTGAATAAGCCAAAATACGGCAATGTATCCCCAACTCTTCATTGCAATGTGGAAAGAAGATCGGCCAGGACCGTGCATGCAATAAATTCTGGCACCAATCTCAAGACTATAATATGAATAGCATCATCTAATCAGCAAGATTTTGTACAATCAACCCTCCCATATCAATCATTGCGTCGGAGATGAAGTGTTTTTCTAAAGCAGCAATAAACATAATTATAGTCAAATCCATATGTTACTATTCATGTACACCGTTGAAAGAGTTTCTGGTAGTTACCTCTCAACATTATCCACAAATTTCTGTGCCGTTGTCAATATTTTTTGGATAGTGGACGCCAGGTTGCGGAGATCGTCCGAGCTTGTCACAACTCCTTTGTTGGTACGCTCGCCGATGTTCTTCACGGTGTTGATCTGATCGCGGAACTTCACTAATGTCACCTTTCCAGCACCGAACAGGCGATTACTCTCACTTAGTTCTTTGGCAGTTTCACCGACGCTGGACGACGTGCTGCAGAATTGAGTGATAGCTTGGCGTGTCGGTTGAGACCCACCGGCAATAGGATTGTCCGCATGCAGTGTGCCAACAAGCTTCTCGAGCCGATTGATGACCGAGTCTCCTGAAGCATTAGAACTAATGGAGCTTCTGGTTGGCGGGGATCTTCTTGCGGTTGCGCGGGGTGCCTCTTCTGCTACAGATGATTTTCGAGTGGGTTCCGGAGTCGGAGGAAGGGGCGGTGTGGCGGCGGGCCGCGTTACGCTTGAGCTGACTTGAGTAAAGCGCGCGCGGCTTTGTGCAACCAGATTCGAAGACGCGGGCGCGACAGGTTGTGATCGCGACATGACGGGAGGCGTTGCAGATCTCTGTTGCAGTTGCCCTTGTGGCTGGACGGAGTCACCTGATGCAGAACTAGCTGCTGGCTTATCTTCAATAGGGCGTGGAGGTGGGCGACGTTGCGGTCTCTGTACAGCTGCTTCTCCGTCTTTTGGCAACGGCACAGGTGCTGCTTGATCCAGTGATTCTCCCATTCCGTTGATCCCCGGCTTGCTTGAAATGTTGTCCGACGTTCCTCTCCGGGGTGGTATTCGCGGAGCAGGAGTGCTGCTAGCTCCCGGTGATGGGCTGGCACGCGTTTGCCGACTCGTTGGTTGTGTTGGTCTGCCTGGTCCGGCACCAGCACTGGGACGTTGACCAGATGAAGCTGAAGGCAGTGGAGGGAGTGCTCGCGATCCTGCTGGTGCCCCTGAACTACCGTCTACAAAACAGGCCCATATATACATGCACATACGCGCACGCGTACACACACACACAAACAGGCACAAACAGGCACACACACACACACGTACTTGTACTCGTTCACTTTCCAGAAACTGGTCACGTGGCCTCCCGTTGCGACACAGGCGAGAGATTGAGAAGAAACCTCGGCAAGATGATTCGATGGGCTATTGAACCGCCCAACAACCCCGAAATAAGAAACTTCCGAGTGGACTTGAAACATTTGACCTCACGTATGCACTCGCCTTGGGCTTGGGCAGCTCTAAAAAATTGCTTGGTATTCCAGAAAAAAATGATTGTGTTTGTACTCTACAAACTACCAGTCCAAAGTGGATTGAGCAGATGGTGCTGAGAAGCCAATGCCATACTTACTGCTGTTCACGTCCATATCGCTGAACATGTTAGTGAGCTGCTCGAGTAACATAGAAAATGATGGCCGATCCTCGGCATGCCACTCCCAACCTACAGCAGAAGATACATCACATAAATACGACAGCATCACCCTTTGTATGAGCGTTCTTTATTAGTGGTGGTGGTGGGGGGGGGGGGGAGTGGCAATTTGAATATCAACATGGCATATGATTAGATATAACACTAAGGTATGGAATAATAGTGTGGTAGAGCAAATAGCATGCACAAAAGTTACAAAACAATATAATAGATACCATGTTTTGTGTGAGGTGCACTATTTTTCAGCTGAAAGTCCCTGGTTTCGCTGTGCATTATACACAGGACATGGAAAATGCAAATGCTCCTGCCAAAAGAACCATGAATTGTCCAAATGTGCTCCAAACTCTGGTGTGCATCATACTCCACGGGTACGGTAAGCTTCAGGGCTAAGAGGAGTTCAACTTAGAGGAGCATATCACAACTAGGAATGGCCTTGGGTCACTGTGCAGCTGGTCATGGATCTAGACGGCTTTCGTAAAACCATGCGACCAACATAGTGAGGATGATATGATATCATTGGTCTTGAATGACAGCGTTGACTTACATGCCAGCATCAGTTCATATACTTCATTGGGGCAGCCGGTTGGTTGGTCCATGCGATATCCCTCATCCAGTCGCTCGTACACTGCAGAGAGTTCCACTCCAGGATAAGGAGAACTGCCATACGTTGCCAGCTCCCAAAGGAGAACGCCGAATGCTGCAAGAAAAGTCGTCGCAACAGAGAATTTTACTGCACGCCCTGAGTCCCACACAACATTGCGAGTTTAAAAAAAATTGAAACACATCTCTGTGAAGATGACATGATGTCAACCTTGGGAAAGGAAGGTGAGGCAATACAAGCCGCACTGCATGGGGACATTGGGCTACTTCGGGAGTCGAGACCCATCCGTGACACTGAATTGCATGTTCCAGAACAAACTCTTGAGCATCGGTAAGCCGAGCAGTAAGAGCCAACAAACCGCGGTTTCCTGGCGGTACTTACACCAAACGTCCGATTGTGTTGAGAATGTGTTGTATGCTAGGGCCTCAGGTGATGTCCATTTAATAGGGAACTTTGCACCCTCCCGGGCAACATAAATCTCATTTGACGGGCTGACCAAACGAGAAAGTCCAAAGTCAGCCACTTTGACCCGATAGCTCTCACCAACGAGGCAATTCCGCGCAGCCAGATCTCTGCAGACCAAGGAAAAGAAGTGACAACAACAGAAGGCCGTTTTAGATGGTCTTTCAGACTGGTGACTCACCATACTCCCTGCTAAGACTCACCATACCCCCTGCTGCTAAGCAATCTGATGTCACATCATGTACTACATTTACTATTGCCCAATAAACAACTGCTGATACCACACTGCGGACAGAATTCGTTTAGGCTGTCATCACACTACGAAACTCTGCGTAGTAGTTAGTAGCAGTAGTTAGTTGACAAGACTGCTTTGCCTTGAGTCTTGGAGTATACAATTACAAAGTAGCTGTTGCTGTCACTGGTGTGCGTGTGTTACCAAGAGTTTGTAACCCCACACTCTTTAAAAAAAAATCTTTTATTTATGGATTCCCGAAAGGCCGAGGCTTAAGTCGAGGGTCTCCGTTCTCTTGGTGTTACTATCGCCGCGGAATGGATTCCGAAAGAACTAGCATACGTTAGGCAAGCGAGGTTTCGGTGACGATGGCGTGGGAGGAAACACATCCGTCGGCGAAGAAGGGAACGACTGCGTACCAGCACCCGACACATCAGGAATTCAGTCATGCAAAGAGCAAACACGGTGTCAAATGCAACAATCGCAGCTGCCAGAGGCGAGCGCAAGAACAAACAGGCTGGATTGCACAGGGCACCAGGTGCTTGCATCCGTCGACCAGAGCTCTGCTTCTCCTCTCTGCTATTAGCATGGTGCTGTTGGTGATCAATTTCTCTCACCAAGTATCACCTGCCTGGCAATCCAGTGCCCTCTGGCTCGGGATCAGACTGCGAGGAGCCTCTCCTGGCTTTCGTCACCATCGTGATGGCAATGTCGGTGAAGAAAGTAGCGCTAGGACTGCAGTGCCGCAGACCAGTGCCCGTAGCATGGCCGCCACCGCTAGGACTGCAGTGCCGCAGACCAATGCCCGTAGCATGGCCGCCGCTAGGACTGCAGTGCCGCAGACCAGTGCCCGTAGCATGGCCGCCGCTAGGACTGCAGTGCGCAGACCAGTGTCCGTAGCATGGCCGCCGCTAGGACTGCAGTGCCGCAGACCAGTGCCCGCAGCATGGCCGCCGCTAGGACTGCAGTGCCGCAGACCAGTGCCCGTAGCATGGCGGCCGCTAGGACCGCTGCTGCTGCTAGTGCTTCTCCTGCTACTGCTGCTGTTGCTGCTGCTTCAACTGCTGCCAGTGCTGGCAGCATTAACACTGGGACTGCTGCCTCCGCTGCTCCTACACCCACACCACGTTTTCAACCAGTGTCCATCCGACCCGGCACATTTGTATATCTTGTGATGGGAGAGACCGCAGTGCCTGACCTATATGTGAGAACAAGTCTGATCCCGGACGTCCACGTGATCTTTTTGGCATGGAAAGCGCCGCCACCGACTGCCAACATTGGCAAGGTGCAGACGGACTTCTTCCCCAAGTCGTCCTGGGCAAGCGGTCGGTCGCAATCATCTCTCAGACCTTGCGCTGGCCAAGGAAAAAGAACAAGGATGGAATTTTGAGTTCTGGCTCTTCTGTGATGGCGATGCACGCTTGATCAAACGACACAACCAAGCTCATTACCCTATTTTTCTAAGTGGGTGGAAATTATTCCCCTCCCGGATATGAAGGCCGAGACCGTAGCAGACCGTTTGGTTGACCGGGTATTTTTGAAGTTTGGAGTCCCCTGCCAATTACATTCGGACCAGGGCCCTAATTTTGAGAGCCGCCTCATCTCCTCTTTATGTAAATTGTTGGGGGTTTGTAAGTCCCGCACCACCCCTTACCGGCCACAGTCAGATGGTCTTGTCGAGAGGGCAAACCGCACGATTCTGGTGGCCCTCCGGGCCTATGTCGCGGACGACCAAACATCCTGGGACCGCCACCTTCCTCTGGTACAATTTGCTTACAATACGGGTGTCCACCGTGCTACGGGATTCACCCCTCATTTTGTGCTATTTGGGAGGGAGGCCCGTTTACCCCTTGATCTTTTTCTCCCTGCCCCGGGGGCCCCTCAAGTTACTCCTCTGCCCGCATATATCACAAATTTGCGGTCATCTTTGGCTAGGCGTTTGGTGTAGTCCGGGATCGCCTGGGAGTGGCACATCGGGTGGCTAAATCTACTTATGATAGGCGGGTGAAATCCCCCAGTTTTCAACCAGGTGACTATGTCTGGCTCCATGCAGTTCCACCCCCGGGTGCCAGCCCTAAGCTATTTCGCCCCTGGACTGGGCCCTGGCAGGTAGAAGTAATTAAGGGAGTGGTGTGTTCCATTGTACGGGTGGGACCCCCTCCTTCGGCCCGCCATGCTAAGCATTTAACAGTGCACACCGATCGGTTACGGGCTGTCCACGGTAAGGTAGTGGTTCCCCCAGGGGTCCAGCAGTGTCTCCGCCTGAAAATACGGCGATGCCATCTATGGGGGGTCCAGCCATGTTTTTGCCCGCCCCGTTTGGTGCACCCCACCCTGTGGCTCCGACTCCCGTTATGGTTCAGCCCCCGGGTTCGGTCCCCCCCCCCCTCCTTCACCTCCGGGTTCTCCTCCAGGTTCTCCTCCGGGTTCCCCTCCGTCCCCGCCCCGGCCTGGTACGCCCCGACCCAGACGTTCATGTGTGTTGTCGCCTTGGAGGCAGGACAGGGTCAGCTTCCGTGGAAGGGGTGGTGATTGCTTGAGGCTGCGTGCTCCAGCTGTTTCGGTTGTTTTTGTTACTTTTCTTTCTCGTTCTAGTTTTCGCGCCGCCGCGGCCCCGACTTCCGTCTATTTCGCCATGACGGGGTCGGAGTGCTCTCTCCCGGTTGCTCCGTTGCCTCCCCCGCTCTGTCCCACGGCACCTCCGGCACTCCCGTTGCTTCGCCGTGTGCGCCGTCGGTCTCGCCGCTCGAGACAGCGCCGCAGAGTCCGCCGGGCAGCGCAGCAAACAGCACCATGCATATCACCTGACTGACTGTCAGCACTATCCGCACCCTCTTCACCTGCAACGCGGCCAGCTACGCCTCCTGTCCTGGAGGACTTCTCCGATGTTGTTCCGTTGGTGGACATTTATTGTTATAACGATCTCGCGTAAGCTGCATTTTTCTCTTGCATGTGTAATTTTGTTTGTCTAGACTGTTGGATGGGTGGCGTACTAGGTTGGTTCTGTTCAAATAATCAAGATCCAAAGGGACAACTACAGGTCGAACAGCCCGCCAGCCGGGGTCCTCTGCAAAATCTGTTGCTTCCAGGTTCCGTTTGATTGATGCACAGTTTTGCGGGGCTCCCGACTGGTGTTAACCCTCCTGGCCTACTCGTCATGCGTTCAACAGTCGTGACCCCACTTCTTTTGTATTTTTATTGTCGCCTATTTATGTTGTTTCACATTTCATTTCCCCGGTCTTTCTGCCTTCTTCTGTTTTTTTTATATACCAGTGGCGGATCCAGGATCCGAAACAAGGGGGGGGGGGGCACACTACAGGCTCAATGGAACAAGTTTACTTTTACAATGACTTTTGTGATACTCGAACATGTAAATGTATGGGCACTATTGGTATAATATAACAATCAGAATCAAACAAGGTAAGTTGCTTCCTTCTCTTCATTTTCGAACTGCTGTAAAACAACAACGAGGTTCTGGAACGCCAAGGCAAGTGAAGTTTGCAAGGCAAGGGCAGGAAAATCTACGCATTGCCATGCGAAGTTTTGAACTGTGTACTTGCACTTGTACCGTCTTTGTTTTCGTGCTACGAGTACAGTGCAGTACTAGACCAAAACCGTAGTTCTGGTGCGCACGGATCGCGGATCGCGGAATACAGATCGACGCGACGAGAGTTGACAGTTCACAAGTTCAGTACACGCGTACCGCGTATCGATCTACGGACCCGGTGAACCAGTGCATGAATGTGTACAGTGCATGCAGTACAGCGACTGGGCCTTGTCATCTACACAGGAAGTGCGCGCGAGCTCGGTTTCGATCGAGATCAGTAAAAAAAAAAGTCGATCGGCGCTTCTGAAGGGGGGGGGGGGGGCACGTGCCCCCTTCGCCCCCCTCTAAATCCGCCACTGTATACACTTCCATCCACAGGAGTGGATGTCTTTTTTTCGGTTGGGGATAGTGTTGTACATGTGGTCGCGCTTGTAGCTCTGTGTCGTACATGCGGCTGCGCGGGTGTCTCTTTGTCGTACATGTAGCTGCGCTTGTGTCTCTTTTGTCGTACACGTGGCTGCGTATGTGTCTCTGTGTCGTACATGCTGCTGACCCGTGGGTACACGCCGCTGCGCTGTCTTGGAATGCTTTGTACATGCCGCTGCACCGTCTTCTGTCTCCTCCGTATGCATTATTTCTCATCTCGTCCCCGTTGCATACACATTTTCTCGTCTTGTCTCCGTTCTATTTGTCTGGTTGCCGTCTTGTGTCCGTCGTATTTCCCCGTCGTTCGTCTTTGTCTCCCGTCCTGTTCAGGCCTTGTTGTACTTTGCACAGGCACCTCTTTCGTATCCCTCACCCCACTTTTTCCCCTCTTTTCTCCACGTCTCCATAATATATTCTCTTGTCCGTTTTGTTGGAGCGCAGTTCTCCAGTCGCCTTGTGAAATCAAGTTAGAGAAAACGCTCTCTCCCAATTTGCACGAGTCTTTTGTTATTGTGTGGAGTGGCGAGGAGAGCAACAGTTCGTCCAATTGAATTGACGACATCTACGTCCACGTAAGGAGGTTTTGGTCTGGCCGGGTTGCCATGATGATCCTCTCCCTACCAAGAGTAGGGAGAGGGGGGAGGGTATACAACTATTTTGAACTAAAACTGGTGAACGTGCGTATCTCTCTCAGTCTTTTCCCGAGCGACCATGTACGTGCGTTTGAATTTTCAAATTTCTCCAAAAACAAAACCGCGGGTACGGGTCAAGAACTGTGCCTGCATGATGATACGACCACCCGTTTTCGATTTTTCACCATAGACATAAACGGGAGTCAGAGAAAGTAGTGTGATGACGGCCACAGTGGTATAATAAATTAATGGAGACCGGTGGCAGTACTCCTTCATGCACGTGTCAAGATAAAAAGCATTGGGCTTGGAAAGAAGATAATATCTCAATGATTTTATAATTGAGTCACCGCAACCATAAAAGCTCATCAGATATCTTTCAAACATGTCAGTTCAAAATGCATCTCACCTATGGATCATGTTGGTTGACTCGAGGTAGGCCATTCCATCTGCAATTTGAGTAGCCATGTACATGAGTGTGGTGGGGTCCAGCGTGCTGCCTTCAGGTCCTCTCAGGTAGTCCAGTAAGTTCCCGTACGGCATGTACTCGGCGACGATGAAGAACGGCTGCTCTCGCGTGCACACGCCGAGCAGTTGTACGAGGTTCTTGTGCTTGACCTGAACCAACAACATGCAGACTTAATTTACCCCAAAAAAACGTACGTGTCCTATATAGTCCATTCGCCAAATCGGGGCCCCTGATACACTAAAACTACATGTATGTGCACCATATTGACGAACTCCCAGGATCGAGCAGCTTGGAAAGGCGGTATTCACGCCGCTTAGCACGCGTGCGATCTCTAGCTGAGGAACAGCAGCGGAACCATGTGTTGCACAATAATAATTATCATACGTACTGTGTAAATGCATACTAAATGCGATCTGTCAAATTTCGGTGTCTGAAAAATACATTTTGCACATATACACTGAATTGATGGCCGTGACAACATGGCTCACTCTGATTCTTTGAGCTGGGGTTTAAAACTGCTTTGTTATTCACTACGTCGGACCTCATTGCAATTGGCCCGGCCACTGTCACGCTGGCCTCCGCTGATAAGACCTACCAAGCCCCACTGAACAGCTAGCTGTCCAGAAGTATGTTAATACAGCATGCAACTTGCATAATAACCTCTATAGCACCCGTCATAGGTACAAGCCCTCCGAACCGGCCTATCCCAACAGCATTATCTACTATCTGTTCTTGTTTTGCACCCAGTTGCAATACTAGCTCTGCATGCTATTGCTCACCCAGGCCACAGGTAGCCATGTTAGGTCAACCTGGACCCAGAATAGGTTTCACACCTCATTCGCACCACTGCCAGTTATCATGAAACACATGTTCAGTAGACTGATACAGAAGCAACCGATCCAAAACTTCAGACAGTGGGATAGTACTGCATTTACGTGCTACTCCTGGACTGGAGCAGCCCCTTTACCTTCTCTCCAGCTTCCAAGTCTATTTTTGGCATGATGTAGTATGGACGTCCCACAACTCATTCAGATCCAGGAGCAACCTAGTTCTGAGATGTGCATGCCAAATAGGTCCTCCCTGTGTCACAGTAAATTCAAGTTTTGGAAGCTTGCTGCCAGCCCTATCATGATTGTTCACACTGTGCCACCATCAGTACAGCAGCAGCAGCAGCAGCAGCAGAAGCAGTGGCAGCAGTCATAACTCAACACACATCTAACACGGTAAGTTCGCCTGACCAGTCCTCTATAACAGCAATGATTTCTTACGGGCGTGCCAGGATATGGTGACATGTTAAATGCCTTGCTAACACTAGCTAACTACAATTCTGACCTGTTTCATTACGCCTGCTTCCTTCAGGAACTCGTCAGCCTCCATTGTGTCCTCCTGGAGGGAGGCAGAAATGACAGTCAATTAGGAAATTTGCTGTGTAAAGAAGTGTGGTCAAGCCACAATGACGACATGCTACTTCAACTTACTTCAAATGACATATTATGTAGTTCAGTGGTGATGACTGTTTTCAGGGAAGGAGCAGTCCACGGTCCTACACAGATCGTACTTATTTTCTCTCCCCCCCCCCACCACCACCTCTATCTCTCTTATTTTTTGTCCTATCGCAACCAACTTCATACCCCTAGAAAGCTGAGCAAACGGCCTCACGCTCCCCAAGGTGTACTGCATACTGGAATCTGTTACCTCTCTCGAGAGTGATGATAGTTTTGGTAACTTTATCGCAACAATGAATAGAATCAGCAAGGCGAGCAATAAATGTTACAATAACAGAAAATATAATGAATCTAGAAATTTCCCAATCAATTTTCATGACATCCCAACTCATCACAACCACGCTCTATCTATTGTTCTTCCTCTCATTTGACTTAGAAAATCTCAGATTTTGAGTTTTTAGGCGCTCCATACATAATTTTATTTTCATTATTTTATTGGTTTGGTGAGACTCCCATGATAGGTATCCATTTACCTCTGGAGAATCCGTAAATAAACAAAACAAAACGCGCTCTTCATGAGACAAGCATTAGGGAAATCCAGTGGAATGACCGGGGTTGGTGCCCTTACTGTTTTACCACGCACACGCACTGTAGTTCACGTACAAAGACAAGCAGTGCTCACGGCTACAAGGCCCGGCAGCGACCCTTGGCAGCTAGAATTCTCAACGGATTTTAAAAAGTCCGCAGCAGAGTAGGTAGGCGGAAACATGATAATTCATACAGTGAACCCTGTGTAAGCCGATCGCTAAAGGAACCTTACAAATATGGTCCCCGTGTACAGTGTTGGTCTGTCGCATTCAGGATCATGTGACGGGAATTAAATTGCTTAGTCCTAGTTGCGGTGGTCCTCTAGGACAGGTGGTCACCATATCAGAGTGGTTGCCTTCACAGGCTCTCTGCTGTATGCCTAAGTAGTAGGGGGTAGTCTCACAGGCCATTGTGCTGGGGGTAGTCTCACAGGCCATTGTGCTGGGGGTAGAACCCGAGCCCGGTAGTGATTTGACCTGGGTAGCATTGTAACTGTGCGTGAAAGCTCATCGGGGGTGGGAATAAACAGGCTTTCTTATCTACGGGCTGAAAACTGTCCATAACTGGCCCAGGCTGGACCAGAGCCTATGGTTGTTGGTCTTGAAAGGCCCTAGGGCGGGGAGAGTGGGGGACATTATACTCGGTTGTACACAATACACGAGCAACGCGCAAATACGGTAAACATTATGCGGGCAATTGATTTGAACCTTACTTTAAATGTCTTGACCGCAACCACCCGGTTGACGCTCTTCCAGTGTGCTTTGTATACTTCGCCGTATTGTCCTCCACCTAACCGCTGACCCATCTCAATGTCCGTCCGTTCTATTTCCCAACGATCAGGTGTGCCAAACACAACGGGAGCGTCTCTCTTTGGCGCCGGAAACTTCAACGTCGTCGTCAGCCCGTCCGGATTGCTTGAGTGATGGACGACGAGATCCAGCAGAGAACGGAACTGTGCCTCCTGCGTCACATAGTAGAAACCGCTTTCCATCATGTTGATACGATAGTGATAGACGCGACCTTCGTATCTCAGCGATATTGAGTGCTGGCCCATCATGGACTCGCTCTCGCGCAGAAGAAACGATCCGTTGATGCCACTCTTCAGCAGATACTCGGCTTCGTTCCGGGAAATTTTTCCATGATACCAGGTATGTGTGTCCAAACTGCTTATTCTGGTCAGATAGTTGCTTGGCACCCAACCAACTTCTCCTCGACGTGCCTGAACCTGGCACCAGTCTCCCTCGTCGTTGTACTTGAGAACTCGCAGCTCATCGCCCTTATTCACCTTCAGCATGCCTTCACCCTCGGCGAGGAAGTCGTGAATCACCACTACTAGCTGGTCCTGCTCCATACCGTTCGTGGCATCCACTTCTCCACCATGGCCAGAGTCTTCTTTGCCCCACGCTGCCTTTCCCTCCTGACTGCTTCCTGGGGCGCGTGGCAGCGGGCGTTCAGAATCTGTAGCGGCACAGTTAGAATCGCCACATCGCACTTGTCACCAACAGAACAACTCCAACCCCCCACTAACATTGGCATAGCAAGAAAATTCCTCGACGATAAGAATACCTGGACCATGCGTGACGACGTGAATATTTCACAACGTCCACCACATCAGTTCAAGTCAAACCCCAAACTTCCTTATGAAACCACATCCATGACACTGAAAAGGAAGGAGCCCCACACTGTCATCGATATCCTCCGCCACACAAATAAAGTATCCCTTTCCAAAATCATTCCTACAAAAGTATTTCGTCAACAGAGCAATGGTGGACCAATGCAATACCCATTTCCCAGGTCGGAAGGCACCAACAAAACGTGATTGTTAGAACATGTGGGGGGGCACCTACCTTGGCTACCCGCTTGGCTCGATCTTCGGGTCGATTGGAAGTTGTTTCTGACTTTGGTGCTCAGTATTTGCACGGGCCCTCGCTTCGATTCTCGATTACTACCCCCACTGCTACCAGCCGCAGCCACGCCAGCAGTACTGGCTTCTTGTCCCATGGCAGTTGCTGAGCATCGACCACACTATCAACTGCTAACAATCCGATGTTTCCTTCAGACTCTCTCCTATCCTCGCCAGGGCTAGTAGAGCCGTGCCCGCAGCGAACGCACGCTACCTATGTACAGTATTGCATTCGGAAAGCGGAAGAAGGCAGTAAAGACAGCAATGTCAGAAGCGTCAGAATGGCCCACCAGCACCTGGCTTTTCGTTTCTGCTCCGCGTGCATGACGTTGTGCACTGACTGACCATACAGATCTACCACCCACTGGCTAGCTTGACTTCTCACTTACAGTATCTCAGCTCAGCCTGCATTAGGCAACACACTTACACAGTTAGTCTAGACTCTAGACAGATACAGCCATGTACGGCAAGTCTGCACGCATACCATGATTGTACAGAATATGAACACTCGCAGTTTGCTACAGTCACACAGATGTCGCGTCGGTCAGACTCAGAGGTCCAGTGAGGACACCTACCACTGTACCACTACCAGTACCAGCACCACCAGTCCACCACCACGCAGATCTACTGAGTACTGTACCGCGTACCGCAGTAGATCTACGCGTAGACATCTACAGTCATAGTCATTCTGCAGCAGCCATATATCGCAACACGCACGGTTGTCTGAGTGCTGATTGATTCCCCACCACTGACGACAAGGCGACATGTGCATGATGTGGACACGACAACAGTGCAGTGTTATGTCAACACTCTTCACACTACTGCTGTTCTGATGACCCACCCAGTAACCCACATAGCCGAGTAGAGCCACCCGCGCGCGACCCGGCATCATGCAGAGCATGGACCAGGCCCAGGCCAGGTAAATAAGGCACTAACTATTACTTGACAAAGGAGTAGGCTGACTAATAGTATAAAGTATAATTATGGGCCTAGCGCCTACTGGAGACAGAGTACTGCCTGGTCTGTATGACTCTGAGTGTAGGCTATGCAGCATGCTAGACCACTACTGTTTGAGTGGTGCAACAGTAAACAATGTCATGGTAAACCAGGCGAGCACCGCCCAGTCTTATGACCCTGACTCGTCACAGTCAGTGAGTGTAGTTTGACCATAACAATTATTAAATTTTATGAATAATTATGATGATATTGATATGACTGTGCAGATGACTGTGCATGTGATGAAGCCTCTTTTACCATGTTAACGGTCAAAAGAAACACAATGATGAAAATGCAATACAAATGGGCAGTCACCTGGTCACGCGCATACATCATAACCCCCTGGAGTAGGCTACCCGCCTCTGGCCCTGGGTCATCCCTCGAGCCTCATTAATTAATAAAGATAATAAACAAGGACGTGAGCTTCCGTGATGAAGCTCCAGCTACTTTTTGCTGAACTCACTAAACTAACTATACAGTAGAGTGGCATCACGGTACTTCTACATGTACAACAATTAGGTAATGTGATACAGAAAGTGAAGAACCATCCGAGGTAAATAGCCAATATGAACAAAAGTTATTGTGCCATGCCAGCCGGCTAAGTCAGGATTGTATGAACCCACAAGTAGTTACCCTTTTCTGATCTGAAGTGAATGGTCTCTGCAACGGACATACCCAGCAAACGGTGTAAAATGTGACATAACAGTTACATGTACATGTACAGCCATGTAAAATCCCCGGGCTAGGCCAGAGCATCTTTAGTAGCTGGCTGTGTCTTGCGACTTCCGTGCACACTGAATCTGTGTGAGCTCTTTGGTATGTTGGTTCGTGGAAGGAAAGCCATCGGAAACTCAAACGGAAACGGCAGCTCCTCCATCTCAAGGCAAAGCCTAAGTCAAGGAACGGAAACTATTACTTCTATCGGATGTCGACGTGGAGCGACAGTAAGCTTGCCTCCGGCAGAACGGAGGTCTCTCACCACCCCAGCAACCAGCCCAACCCATGCAGCGTTGCAGGCGCTGGCGGACGGTTCGCTTGTACAGAGCTACGGGGCCGAGACTGGGGCAGACTAGAGCCTGGTAGAGCCTGGTAGAGGCGCCTCACTAGATCACTGCGGTCAATCGTGAAAAGCTAGCCTGAGCCCGACAGTACCGTATGTACAGTCATGTATACCTACATCATACACTGTACATGTACATGACTTGACAATGATATAACCTAACACTGGTTAAAACCAGTATTAGATAAACCTTGTTATAGTTCACGCAATTGTAAGATTGACAGCATGAAACAAGGTGGAGGGCACTGTGTTCGGAAACAGTGACCATACTACAACCTTCCGCGGTTGGCAGAGCCCCGGTCCCTGCGGACCATTTGAGCCATATGGGTATCGCACCCGGTTCTGACCCTCATTATGCTAGGGGGTTAGGAGACTACTCCTGATGTCGTCTTGTTTTCTTCGCTCTTTTCTTTAACTTGTATAAAGACTTTTTTTCTTTTTTCTTCCAACTTCTGCCCATGGCGTCCTTCTCTCAGCTCGTCAACTGTCAACAGTTTTTTTTGTCATCACCATGACACTGTCGCGAGAAGGTGCTCTCTATAGACGGGGTTGGTGATGTCCCGACGTGGCCATGGGTAGGCCTTCACCACGTCGGAACACCCCGGCTACACGTTGGTTACCTCCACTCGTTAACCTGCCTGCTGTTGATGGTGCCACGCAAACTAGTACTGCCTACTGGTCAAGAAAAGTCCTCCAGAGTCTGCGGGCCAGACGGACGGTCGCAGGGCTGTCCTATCTCTACAAGGTAGTTAACTGCAAGGGCCCACCCCGTCTGACACGCATGCGCCCTCCCCCAAAACCACGGGCCGATACTGTTCGAACCCGCCAGCAGCATTATGCTCAGCGCCAGCACCGGGAACAGCTCTTAAACACCACCCCCGGCACCAGTCCTGATTACCTTCGACGTTCCTTCCCGTACTGTTTCCTTGAATTGTGGAACAGCCTCCCCGAGGACATCTTTCCCCGTCTGGCCAATCACTCTCCACTCACAGCTTTTAAAAAAGGTGTGAACAAACACATTTCAGACCAGCCATGGTCTTGGGACGTGCTTTGAAGCCCATCATGTTGTTCGTCTCACTGTTCTTTCCAGATTGCACCTCTCGGTTTGGGGATGTGCATTGAAGCACCCCATACTAACGGTCTATACTGTCCTCTCTTGGTCACCACTCTCCCTATTACCTATATTGTAATTACCATTCATGTATTGCGCTTCAGATTTTCTTCCGTTTTTGTCTCTTGGTGCGTTACCGGCATGGCGATACTGAGACCTAATGGTCAGTGGAGTGCCTGTAGCCTCACCAGCACTGCTACTATCTGTGACTGTGGCGACCACCATTCAATGTCTAGTCCTCCCCTAACCGTACCCCAACTCTCTCTCTCTCAGCGCTCTTTTTATCTGTCTTTTCTTACTCTTTTTTCTTTGTCAGCCTTCCTGGTGGTTATGTGCTTTTTCAAGTAAATAAAAAAAAAAAAAAAAAAAAAAAACTTGAATTTCATCTACAAACGGATTCAGCAACGGAATCCACTGCGTTCATTGGCTCGAACTTGGCGCGTGTTTCGTACATACAAGGACAACTGAAACGAAAGTGAAAGAGCGACTTGCGCAGCAAAAGATGATTTGATTTGAATCACACAGCGGGCTTTTTCACCGGAGGTCGAAAATCGCTGCAACTGGGCCATATTATGTAGATCTACGACTCGTAGACTTCTGCCACTGGCCTGCCATTCAAGGCTGCTACCTTCCGCAAAGTAACAGTTCCGGCCACATTTGGTGGATGGATGGACTGCGTGTCGAAGAACACGGCAAATCTGCTGCAAAAGCAGAACGTCGCACGCCAATTCCGTGGTAACTGTCATTTGACATGGTAGAGAATGCTTTTTCAGCCCCCGTTCTGCCGAAATATGCTCGACCCCCCAAACAGGCATTTTCTGCCGAAAATTCTGCCGGCATTATCCGCCAAGCCCTAATGAGCTCCTCCGAAAAGTTGAGGGAGAGACTGAAACTTGTATTGCGGAGTCGCTCGCGAAGGAGATCTTGGACGAGCCGGATGAGCCTCCACCAAAGCGCGCAATGCTCAGCAACCTGCAGGATCCGCGCAATTTGCCGAGGTTTCCGATCAAGACGTGGGAAAAATCCGTAGGAACAGAACAGCCAGAATGCCCGATGCCCAGTCGACAATGTCAATGGCACCGCGAGAAAAAAAGCACTATGGTGCAGTATGGACTACTACAAAAAACTGTACCAGAAAACAATCACAAAACACAATGCAGGTGTGCACATGTGTCTGTCAAGTCTGTCCCCGGGGAAAATTGCGGAAAAAAATCGCAAAAAACGCGGGGAAAAACGCGGCATAATATGGCATAATTTGCGGTGAATTTGCGGTAAATATGCGGTAAATATGCGGTGAATAATATTGATGTGCGGAGATTTTCAGTGAGTATGTAGTGAAATAAATCAGTTACTGTAAAAGCAGAAATTTTCGGTGGTGTTTTATTTTCGGTAACTTCGGTGCCGACAATTTTTACCGAAAATAAAACGCACCGAAATTTTCGGTACAACCAATACTGTATACATGTAGTACTAGTACACCTACCTGGAGAACGGGTTTTACCGAAAATTTCCCGCTACCGAACCGCCGATTTTGGCGAATACCGAAAATATTACACCACCGAAAATTTCTGCTTTTACGGTACAAGTCTCTGGTGTAAGCACTCGTCATATTTGAGTAAAAAGCCGCCACGATGAGACGTTGCTGACCGAACAGTGCACTGTGTGTACGTCTAGTGCAACAAAAAAGTTCAAAAAACGCGGGAAAATCGCGGAAAACGCGGTCTTTTAAAAAATCGCAAAAAACGCGGAAAAAAACGCGGCCGCGGAATCGCAATTTTCCCCGGGGATGTCGACAGTCAAGTGTCATGTATCTCTTTATTTGGCTTGGGTGCACACGGGAAACACGTTCCAGTCACTCATACTCGGCCAGTACCGCGTACCGCTGTTCATCCAGCCCTTGGCCTTGCCGCTATCGCGGCGCGGGCTGGATTCCGCGGTACTGCCCTCATACTCGTGCAGGAACCTGTACTTACGGATTTTGTGTAACAGCCTCAGTTGCAACGTTGGGAATGCTACATCACCTGTACACTTACCTGACTACATTGCTACATGAAGACCTTATGTAGCAATGGCATTACATGTATGTACATGTGGTCAGGTAAATGTAGCATTAGTGCTAAAGGTGTTCCATGTCTACAAATCACAAAGTCATGTGTTGGTACAATCCACCATTACATGATTCACTGAGTCTGCGGCGTTGCACCTCATGGCTTTAGCCGATTGTTGCGAAAAACCTGATATTTCCCGACATTATCCACTATGAAACTCGTTATGCTGCTCAAACCTCACATAATGCTCGTCTTGTTCTTTTCTAATGCTCCATAATCATGATAATGCTCTGATAGTCTCATTACTTGACATTAATGCCGAATATGATGCCGGCATTATCCGCATGGACCCGGCTACGGACGGTCCCTACCCACCCCCCGCCACCCCCTCCGGGCCCTACTCTGATAGCGCACGACCCTATTCGTAGACGAGTCTACGGTGTTTTCACACAGCGAAAATGATCGTTCCAGCGGGGCGCTCTATGATCTTAGTAGATTTTCAGCGATTCTCAAAGGAACCCTCCAAAATCAGCGAAAAGCTTCGCGTTTTTTCGATAAGTATTACCGGTAGTTGTTGCGGCTACACATATATGTACATACGCATACACCACGCACACACCTTTTGACCTTGACCTTTTGACGCCCATCGCCAGTTGCGATTGTTTGTTTGTTTGTATTCTTTATTTAGAGTGGGAAGTCCAAAACAGGCCCTAGCCTAATAACAATGCGATGATACTTGATAGCGATGCTACAGCAGAAGCCATAATAACTTGTGCTGGGATTGCACCATTCAACAGCTTGCAAGGCTGAAGAATTCGGACCGCCACCAATTAGCCTGGTCTACACCAAACAGCTACGAAGTGGCTTTTTCTGGCCAGTGAACGATGCACTGAATCCCTACTTTTCGGTCTTTTTCATTTTTTTCCCGCACACACATCACACGAAGAGGCAAGAGTCCATAAACATGTTCATGCACTCTTGATCACACCGGTGCACCACATACTCCGGCATGCACTGGCTATTGGTAACCACCCAGAACTTAAGAATGAAAGAAAAGTCAGGAGGAGTCTGAGAAAGAGAAGAAAGACGTGTGTGACCATAATCGTTGGGAATCGAACCCCCCCCAACCTCTTACCTCGATTGGAAATCGCTGCACATACCACTGCACCATAATCCATAATTATCATGATATGGGACACACGCACACTGTACTGTACTGTACTTGCTCACTGCCGAAACTGGTCACGTGGGTCTCCCCGGGAGAGGGGAGAGAGACTAAAAAAGGAATCTTGGAAAGAATAGATGATTCAATTATTATTACAATTGGCTATTGAACCGCCCAACGGCCTACACCCCCTGAAATCCCCAAACTAGGGTGGACTTGAAATGATCCCACTTATGGGCTCACCACACCTCAGTAAGTGGGTGAGGACAAGGTGCAGAAAAAGGATTGACGGCATCAGGGTATCCGTCCCGGGATCCAACTGCAGTTACCCCTGCCCCCAGTGAAGGTAATACTTGGTACTAGTGTGGGTGGCTAAATCAGGGTGGATTCACTAGCACCATTGATTAGCCAGAAGCAGTCCATGGTTAACTGGCAGGTATGTATACTTCAAAATAGGAAGTTTTTATATTATTATGAACCCTGAAACCAACAAAGGTGGTTGGTACAACAATACACCTTCAAGCAGCCGAACACGTTGGCAACAGACCCAACACTATATATCTGGCATAAGTGTACCCACCAACCGAACTAGCTGGCACCGCACACACACGCACACACACACACACGCGTACACACACCTCATACCTCAGATCTGCCCATCGCGGAAGCGATGATAGCGAACAGCTATGTTAAACATAGCAACTTGTGCACACACACACATACACACACCACGCCACACACATACACACACATACACACACACCATGTACCCACACATACACGGCCCCACATATCCCCCTCCCCCCCCCCCACACACACATAATAAATAATTATTGTATACACACTCACAAGCAGCGATCAGGAAAAGAAGACACGTGCACAAATCACTGGGGAACACTTCTTTGGTAGAACAAGAACATGAGCAATTTCCAGCTGGCCTAGTTATCAGAGGGGAATGCATATGCCATGGAGGGCACCGTGACGGCGCACAAATCGGTGGTAAAAGCAGCAAAGTTCGTTATTGGCAATTATCAGATGTTACCCCCTCCGATGAGAAACTAGCAATGAAGTAAAATAAAAGATAGCAACAGCACAGGAAAGAAACTGTATAGAAACGGACAAAAATAAAACAAAAAGTGCCAGAACTCATACATCAGCAATCGCGCAGGAAAGGAATGGGACACAATTTCAAATAAACACCTACTTGGAAGTATATACACAATGATGGAGCAGAAGGGTGCAAGGGGTGCACCAGCAGCGGCACTAACAGACTAACAGTACAAGCGCCGCTACCACTACTACTACTATACAGATGGTGCACGGTTGTGCAGGGCACTTACTGCTACGGACAGTATAGTACCAATTTCTTTATACAGATGGGCGCAGTTGCATGGGGGAATTCAAAGAATACAAAGTCACGCTTCAAACCGCAAAAAAATACCCAGGACACACATGCACACACACACACAAAACAAGATAATAAAACGCTCACAACAACACAAAGCAATGCACATGGTCATGTACATACACAAATACATGCAACAGCACCAGTTCCGGGACATAACTTTATGTACAGCTTGCGTGTATTTCATAGTATATCTGACTGCTGATGGATATGGCTAAAGTTCTGGTGAGTGTGAGTGTTGGTGAGTGTGTATCTACGTAGAGAGGTAGGGGAGGGGGCAGGGGCTCTTTTTCCGTATTGAGTCTATGTTCAATGTGTAGCTGAGTTATGTGTGTTCTATACATATGGGGGGGGGGGGGGGGAGGGAGGGGGAGGGGGAGAATGAGGATTAGGGAAAGAATGCACAAAGCCATGTGCATGGGTGTTAAGCAACAGCCTTGCTGCAGCGGGACCACATACATCACTAGAAAACCAGAGATTGCAGCAAACGGCAGGGCGACCACGGGAGGTAGCACACCTTCTTGTTGACACGACTCCCTACGCCAAGCCAAATCCTTCTGTGCACTCTTCAATAGCAAGTAGCAGCATGTGCCGAAGCTTGTCATAGTTCTCATAGGGCGGAAGGTCCAGCTGATTGAAGCTGAGCAGCAAGCAAATGGAAAAGAGAGAACATCATCAGATGGTTTAGTTGAGCTTTATCTCCCAGTTTCAGGGCTGTCTATTATAAATGAAGCTTGCCAGTTCGTATCAGCCCCTGAGTTGGTATGTAAAGAAAGAAGAGTACTCACCACGTGTGTGCACATGGAAGGCGATCAAGAGACCGATCGTCACGGTGGATCTGGAACTTCTGAGGTCCGTTCATACCCTCCAGGTGGGCGAAGCCCTGCAGTGGTACCTTGGACGTGCCGGTGACGAACTGTACAAACTTGGCCAGCTGGTCCTTGTTGAAGGAATGCAGTGCTCGCCAGAACCACTGGATCTGTGAAATGCAAGGGAATACAACAGGCATAGCCAGTCACTCTCAATTAACGGTGCAAGATCACAGATGCCATCGCTATGGACGATGCATGGACACGTAGTACAGCCATGTACTAGTCACCAGTCGTGTACACTAGTATAGACACTGTAAAACACCACTGCTCAATGAGTTGGTGCCAGATGGACAGATACAAATGCGGAGACATACCGAGGCACAAGCAATACAACCACGCAGACAGACAGCAAAACAATACAATTACACAGCAAGATTGAACATCCAGCAAAACGTGTACCCAGCAAGATTGAGCATTCACTACAATGTAGGCAATTCCTCCTTGCTTTCCGAGACGGTAGCACTTACGTGACAGCTCTCCATCGTGTACTTGTGATACTCGGTGTTCATTCGTAGATCATCCAAGTCAACTGTTGGCATACCGGAAATCAGCAGCTCAAGCTCCTGCTCATTGAAAATGCCAATCAAATGCTTTGGTATGATCTCGTAGAAACCTTCCAAGAATGCCTGCAAACACGCACACAGAACATACCGGTCAGCCGTGATGCAAAAGAACACCTGCCTCTGGCATCATGATCACGCATGTACAAGCAGCTTAGTAAGGTATCTAGAGTGGAGCGAATGAAAAGTAAACTACATGCTGGTAAACACACTACAAAGCGGTTCCTGTGATTGCCTTGCCCTGATCGTGGGGTACTGCGGAATGGCAACCTAGAAGTTCAGCATACTTCATGGAGTTTCTAGTCAACAGGTTCATTGTGTTACGGACATGCCAATGGGAACGAGAGCAAAAACGGCTTTTGAAGCAAACCAACCTGGATCTGCTGCCGGATAGCACTGGTCATCTTCTCGATGCAAGCCAGCCGCACATACTCCTGCTTGTTCTCTTCTGTCACAGGCACATTGCGGCCATCCTCAATCAAGTCACGCGTGATTGTTTTACCGAACTCTTCCACCTAGGTAGCAGAGCAACGTAAGCAACATAGATATACATGTACACACCCACCCACACACAAATGCACGCACACATACACACATGCACACGGACACTCAATACTCACACTGCACCTGCAGCAACCCATGGTCTAGATCAGCTACATTACCACATCACTAGCACCACGAGTACATAACCCCAAGATTGCAACTGCCTGCACAACCTCTACCCAGTGCTGCAACGGCAGACCTTCACATAATGTGACACGGTTGAAAAGGTTACGCTGGCAAACAGTGCAACGTGACCACAAGAGAGTTGAACCCAAAGCAGAGTTGCGAACAACCCTGTATATATCCTGTATAATGTATACAAATTCGCCACGTGATGTGAAGTCCTGCCGTCGCAGATCCCATAACTGGAGCAGCACACTCTTGGGGGTTATGTACTCTTATGCTAGCACAAATAGCTGCTGCATTACACCACACTTCCGCCGCACGGGGTATTGCAGTTAAAATAAGCTGCGGAAGAGGTGAGCACAGTCGGCCCTCGCCTACCCATACACTTTGTTCTCACAAAGATTAAGATAGGTGAGGGAACCAGAAATCCAAACAACGTGCTACACTGTTCTCCAAGGGTTTGCTGTAGATCCGCTCAACTAGTCTCTGTAGCCCAGCTCACCTCGACACAGAAAGTCAACTCCAAGTCCAGATCATTGATATTGGACTCAAGCATGGACTGCATGCTCTTGAAGAAGGTGTAGTCTTCCGCTTCCATGTCCACGTAGTGCACTGGCTTGCCTAGGATGTGCTTGTAGAAAGAACGCGTGAAGTAGCACTCCAACAGCTTGTTGTCAAAGACGGCCTTGGCAATGAAGCGGCCGACAAACTTGAAGTAGGAGAGATGGTCAGGATTGGCGTGCGACGCTGGATTCGGCATGTAGGTCACACGGTCACCGGGGGTGGTCTTGAACAGCGCGTAGTTGGGATTGAAAATCTCGCGCGCCACGATGATGAACCATTCCCGCAACAGACCACCAGCGTCTTGTCCCTCTTCGCCTTGAAACACGACGTACATGCGGCTCCTCATCTCCTGAGTTCCCCGCCGGAAAATCTCCCGGAAGGAGTCCTAAAGCATACACAAAGAAAAAACAACACAGAATCGAGAATTGATGGCATATGGTTTCACA